GATAGATAGGTAAACGTTACATTACCATAATAGTAATTAATAAGGAGCTATAAAACAGCACATAAAAGAAAGTTAATGTATGATGCAAACATTTTTTATAAATATTTTAACCAAAAATTTTTTACAAAGTAATTTGTGGCTGCGATTTTCCAACATTAAGGCCCATCCTGCTGAAAATACACTGGGAGATGCATAACAGGATAGCCTATCGCTGGAACTAGAAGATATCCATTGTGGCAAATTTTGAAATTTTTAGAATTTTTCAAAGTCAGACCAAAAAAATCGAACTTAGAAATTTTCTAAAAAATTTATTTATTTATTTATTTATTTTTTATTTATTTTTTTTTTCTTTTACTTTATTTATACATAAACATTTACAAAACGTCTAAAATACCTATTTACCCTGGTTTCTCTTTCAAAAACCGACGAGTGACTTCGAGGAGCGAGTCCTCACATGGTGTACCTTTGTATGCTCCTTCATGCCCTCTAATGGGAGGGATACGGTACAATCTCGGCAGTCATACAGTGTTACTTCTTGATGATTTTCTGCAAAGTGCGCGTATATGTCTGTGTGGTACCCTTTGTCTACACAAAGATCACACCGTAAGAATCTATAGTGCATTCTATGTTCGTGCTTTTCCGTTTCCTCAGCTGTTCTATTTTGTTCTGGGCAGAACCTACAGCGTTTGTTATCATGAGTAAATTTTTTACTTTTCATTATTTTTTTCTCCTCTGTGGGGCTATCTTCCTTCTTCCTTTTGAAGCTTGCAAGAGTGGTGTCCATGTCTGAGAAAAAGAACGGAGCGTTCAATGTTAGAGCTCTTGACGTAGCTGGTTTGTCTGACTTCGACGTTGCTGCAGTTGCTTGTTTGCTTGGTGTTGATGGTGTACTTGCCGGCCTGGATGGGTTGATCGGTTTTTTGATCGTTGCTTGTTGTTTGCTTGGTGATGGTGTTGTCTGGGCGGGTAGTGCTTCTAGCTGGCTGCTTGTTGTTGGAGGTGGCTTGGCGATTGGAGTTATTTGCTGGCTGCTTGGTGTTGTTGCTGGTTGGGCGGGTGGCGCTGGGTGTTGTGCTGGGGGCTGTTTTTTGGGCGGTGTTTTCGGGTTCGGTGCTGCGTCTTCGGTTGAGGAGTGTTGCTGATTACTTGGCATGGGGCCTTGTAGAGCGGATGGAGCTGTAGATTGTGCTGGTATTTGATCATTGGGCGTTGATTCTAGGTTGAGAGTTTGACAGCGGTTGGTCCAGTGTGAAGTTGACGAGCAGGTTTGGCAGGCTTGTTTTCTGTCGTTGATGGCTATTAGGATGTTGTGTGACTTGTTTCTGTAGTTTAATTGGATGTAGTGGGGGATGTTTGCTGGATTGTCAGTGTGTATGGAGAAGCTACGGTTGGTGGTGAGAGGGATTGTGTATATGGAAGGTTCTTTGTTACTGTAGGGTTGTAGTGCTTTAATGAGTGTGCGATCGCTTAGTGTAGGTGGGACCCACCTAAGGGTTCCGTTGACTCTGTTCTTTTCGTGTAAAGTGGAGAATAGTGTGTAGGGACCGTGTGTTTTGTGTGTGTTGTGTAGGGTGGTGACGTCGAAGGCATTTGATGTGAAGAACCACGTGTCTGCACGACCATAATTGAGGAGGAAGATCTGTTGGTTGCTTATTAGTTGTCGAAGGATGTGACCTCTTAGATTGGGTTGACCTCCTGAGTTGATTGTGACTTGAATGGTGGGTGAGTCAGCCGGGAAGAGTTCTGGACAGTCCTCATCAGGTAGATCGAGTATGGCGGTGGTGGCTGAAAGGGGTTGGGCCCTGGATTTCATTAAACCCCCCGGACAGTAGTCCGGGAGGCTCCTCCCCAAGCCTCTCGGCCCAGGGGGAACATCCGAGGGCGCAACCCCTTTGTGAACGTTGACTATATTTGCATATGTCGTTGAGCTAGGCTGTGACATTGTAGGGAGCGTAGAATAGTTTTCAACTAGCAATAACTGGTATTGCTATGTAACTAATCGGAAGTTAACACCAAATTACTGCTTGTAAAAAAATTTATCCCTCGTTAGAATCCTATGTTTTTAGTTCCGACGATAGCAATTAACGCAAGGAAGGTTTATACCAAATTTTAAGTACTTTACTTATGGTTTCGGAAAATTGTTTACAAACAAATTCAAAATGTAATGAAATATTAACAAAATATTTATTTGCAAATATTTTGCAATACATATACCCTACAATTTATATACTGTATTATAGTAAAAGAAGCGTTACTACTGCTGTACAATTTTGACATATGTATGTCGAATAGTTTTTTTTGTGTGAATATTTTTGTTTTCCTCCCTTAGTCTGGGTGATACTGCCCCCTTAATCCCTACAATATTTAAAAAAACAAAAATCCATATGTTCATGAATATTATAAAGAATATCATTACAATAAAAAAAAATCAATAGGCTATGTGCTTAATCACTCTACGAATGCCGTAACGTCCATCAAAATGAATATGGGCATACTTATTATGCAATGAATAGAAACATAATAAAGATGCCCCGATAATATATAAATAAAACGAACATGGGCATATAATTACTGTATGGATGCCCTTCAGACATTCTATAATGTATATAAGCATATTTAATATCCCCCGATAATATATAAAACAAATATGGGCATAATTTATTGCTGTAAGGATGCCCTTTAAAAATGCAAACGTGAATACAAGTAAAATTAATTTAAAGATGCTCTGACGATATATAAATATATATATATATATATATATATATATATATATATATATATATATATATATATATATATATATAAAATGAATACTGGCATAATTACTGTATGGATGCCCTTAAAAGTATTATGATGAATATAAGCAAAATTACATTAAAGATGCCCCTACAGTGTAAAAATTATAATCATGGGCTTTAATACTCTATGGATGACCATAAGTGTACAAAATGATTATAGGCATATATTCTATAAAAGATGCCCCTACCTACAATATACCTAAATAAGTATCAGATTCTCTATTAATTGAAAGACTGCATACCGTTGTTAAAGGAATATCAATGACTACTACACCACTACCCTTCACCGATGCCCCTTTCTCCCTGAACCTTGTATGACACGAATAGTACGATGACTATATCCGTGCCATTTGTTAGTTGTATTTACACATATGGGTGAATTCGGCAAATTGATAATCCTGCCTAGGTAGTCAAACCTAAGATTTTAAATTTTCTTCCACAAAAAAAAACCCCTAAAATTTTACCCCGTTTGATGCCCCCCCCCCCCCTGATGTGGATGCCCGGGCCCCCTCCCTTCACTACCGCCCAGCACGCCCCAGAGCGTACTGTATGAGAGCCTTGAGTGTTCGTGAATCAATCTCCGTAAAAGAGAGGTAGATTACACTTCGGTGACCGCCCAGGTGTCAGTGACGTAGAGGGGCGCCCCCGGTTCTGAATAATAGTCTACATATAACTAAAATATAGGTCTTGAATTTCAAATCATTCATTTTCCCACGTTTTCTTTAACTTGCTTTCGCGTCTGTTTATTTATTTGTTTGTTTTTCCAATCAAATCTTGCGATCGAAATTTCGGGCACTTCCCAGTTAGCTACCGCGCTGAAATTTTCAGGGAAGCTATGTGTCCGATGACAATACAATATTCAATTATTATTATTACTAAATTGATCCATGGGAAACTTTTATTGATCATTTTAGACTCCTATTGATTTGTACCAAAAAAGGGACATAACCCAGTAATTGTAATTTGATGAAAACAAGGTTCGGTACTTTCCCTCTTCAAGCTTACTGAAGGAGCGAGCACGCGATTGGCTGAGTAGTGGTCACGCGGTGTTTGTGTACAAACCTATGCAAATCTGACTGATCAGGAAGTAGAATATTGATGGTCGAATGGTTTGCACGCGAGGGCAAAATGGTGAAAGAAACGGCAACACAGAAGAAACGTCGATTGGAAAAGGCACGTGTTTTTTACGAGTTGTCTTCGTTTACCCAAAAAAAAAGTGAATGCGAGAAGATAAAATCGATAGCAAGACTTGAATGCAAACAGACAAAGACTAAAAAGTAGAAAATAAATGCTATACATCACAATAATGCAAGCGATCACTCTACTATAAGCGATAGCAAACTGCGTGCGCATTATGACGAAAAATGAAAAAGTGGGGCGCCGTGATTTTCTTAGTTTCTAATACTGTTGACTCTCTACAAGCTCCCTAATAAAACTCAATAGTATTATCTAATCAATAGTAATATAACTTTTACATCTTATATTAACAATGACCGATAAAAAAACTTTTACTTCGGCGCCCCACGTTTTTCAGTTTTTTGTCATAATGCGCACGCAGTTTGCGATCGCTTGCATTATTGTGATGTATAGCATTTATTTTCTACTTTTTAGTTCAATCAGAAAACGTGGGTTTTTAAAAACTTTTTTAATGATAATTATTTTAAATTAGCTACTGTTTTTTTTGTGTTCCTTTAAGATCATTTTTTTAACATAATGATAAGGTATGGGTTAGATCACTGTATTGCTAAGACACCTTTTTACAGGTAGTTGCAAAAACAATATTTACTAATGTATTCAGCGGTTAAACTGTAGCTGACGCAGCCGCCGGCGATTGCGTGACATAAAGCACCACGGGCTCCAGTGTGAGCATTGCGCGTACGGTCGTTTAAATTTTTTTACACGTCCTCCGGCGCCCTGTAGGGTACTATTTGACTTCCCAGCGTATGCTATGGCGCATACGTTCGTTTTAAATAGTGCGATAGAATATAAATAAGATGTAGTATTAAAGTCGTTCACTAAATTGAATCAGGCGCGTGCCCAAGCAGAATGCGATTTGACGCCGTTTTTCTGTTAAGACCAAGACACTCTTGGAATTGTATTTTCTGCAGATAAAAAGCAGTCTTACACCGCGTTACTACAACATGCCGCTATGCAGCAAAGAGTAGTTTGAGAACAAATAAACACAGAAAGAGGTTGGTTTTTAAGGTTTAATCACAAGAAAAATGCACCCATCCATAGAGGGACTACCGACCCAGTCACTACACAGGGCAGGCTCAAATTAATACTGAATAAAAACTCTGCCATTTACAGCCTAACTACACAGTTCAACAAATGCTGGGGGTTATTGGAATGGAAAAGAAAAAAGCCAGTAGCCAGTACATTCAACCACTCAACAGAACTGGTCAATCTACATAGCACATTTTATTCCAATCGTTACAAATTCTTGTACAGCAATGATTGAGTCAACTGTCCAGATGGACTTAGGACAGGTCAGCATTGAAAGACACCCATCAAACAGCATACATCACAGCATACAACACAGCCCATCCATCAAACAGCCACAACACAGCCCATCCATCAAGATTACATCCCTCTACCGGTGATTCAAACATTGATTTGCATTATTTCAAAGATTAGGAACAGATTGACATAAATATTTGATATGATGGCACAGTAAAAAAATCACACACAGAATTAACAAACACTGTATCTACAAATCACTTATAAGATTAGTATCATTTGTTAAAAATTGTGTTTATACAGATGATTTAAAACTTCACATAACTGAAATACAGGTCAAATAAATAAGGCTAAAATAAACAAAGAGCTGTCCAAAGACAAGCAAGCCATAGATTAAAATTAGATTAAAATGTGTTGACCACCAACCAACACTCTAGTAGGCCACAACAAATCCATCCTTGTGCTGGGAGTGGAATGGTTCAGTGGCCGGAGCCTCGATTTAGTTTTCTGCCGGAGCCTCGATTTAGTTTTCTATGTCAGACAGGTCTGAGTTTCATCACACATGCCAGTGGCAACCATCAAATACATCACACATGCCAGTGGCAACCATCAAATACATCACACATGCCAGTGGCAACCATCAAATACATCACACATGCCAGTGGCAACCATCAAATACATCACACATGCCAGTGGCAACCATCAAATACATCACACATGCCAGTGGCAACCATCAAATACATCACACATGCCAGTGGCAACCATCAAATACATCACACATGCCAGTGGCAACCATCAAATACATCACACATGCCAGTGGCAACCATCAAATACATCACACATGCCAGTGGCAACCATCAAATACATCACACATGCCAGTGGCAACCATCACTTAAATACCTGGACTGATGTTGAATTAACTGGGATCCTGGAATGCCAGTGTACATTTGTGTGGACTAGAAAATAGGGACCAACATAGGAGACCCACTCTACCAACAACACAACTAGTAGGACTCCAGATGGTTTCCTCCTGTGGCCCATCTATGTCTACTAGATGATGGGATGAATGTCAGCCAGAGATGGGAGACTAAGACCAGTTGACCAAGTACTCTACAGTTGTATCATCAGGCCGTACGCGCAGTGAAATCACTTGGTATTGTCTGTCTGCACCAACAGCCACAGATGTGGGACCAGTGGCACCTTCAAAATATTCATAACTTTTATTATCAAGTGAAGCCTCAAATCTTTTCACTGAATGACGACTTCTGTGGCTTCGCCGTACAAGGTCTTGGCTAGACAGATCACTGTCCTCACTACATTCATTCATCACATCATGCTTGCGCTTGAAACCTTTCTTGGGCTGTCTTTTGGATTTGACAGTCTGTGAGCAAGGTGAAGGTTGAGCAGGCAGCTGTAGGTCAGGAAGAGGAGAAACGGCGGCTCTGGCCTCTTCAAGAACAGGAAAACGAAACCCACAGGTAGGAGTCAAATTTTTAAGGCACCTGTTTAAAGCCTTCATCCGCTTTTCTGCTTCAATGTCCTCAACTGGCTTTTTGAGTGAATATCCATTTTTGGCTTGCTTTGGTGCTGAGCTTGTGTTTACACAGTGGGAGCTGAGACTAGAGCCTCGGGCTGAGGCATGACGTAGTCTGGGAGATATGCCCTGAGATGGAGATATGCCCTGAGATGGAGATATGCCCTGAGAACCAGTATCACTACAGGAACCCTTTAGTTTCCTTGGTGTAGCTACAGACTGAGTTGTGTCTAGCAGGAGAGCCAACTCCCCTTTGAAGCCTTTGATGGTGTTGGCTGTTGAAGATGGTACAGGGGCTAATGGAATACAAGATTTCATCTCATCATCTGGGAACAGCACATGCGCCAGACGGGACAGCTGCTGCTCAAAATGTTGTCTCTGCTGTCGTATGCTGTCCTGTTCTGTCTGGGTGAGAAATGGATGATTGAGACCAGAGAAACTGTCTGGCTCTGGGAACGCCGTGTCCAGTGACCAGAAGGCTGGCCTGGTGTCCACCTCAACATGGACCTCCTCTTCTACTTTGGCAGGCGAGTTATTGTTGGCATCAAATATATCAAAGCTGCTATACAAACATTTTCTAGTGCGCCTCCCTGGGGAGTCTTCAGGCAACGGAGATTTTCTAGTGCGCCTCCCTGGGGAGTCTTCAGGCAACGGAGATTTTCTAGTGCGCCTCCCTGGGGAGTCTTCAGGCAATGGAGATTTTCTAGTGCGCCTCCCTGGGGAGTCTTCAGGCAACGGAGATTTTCTAGTGCGCCTCCCTGGGGAGTCTTCAGGCAATGGAGATTTTCTAGTGCGCCTCCCTGGGGAGTCTTCAGGCAACGGAGATTTTCTAGTGCGCCTCCCAGGGGAATCATCAAGACATTTGACTGGCGTGCAGTAATTGTGTTCAGATTTCTGGAACAAAAATATCTTGAAATAATTGGTGTTAACTTATTATTAAGTAGAAGAGAATCTGGGGTTATAGAAACCTGATAGAGATGTGACCTTACAAGCTCAATACTCACTTCTAAATTTTTTTAATAAAAAAACTTCAAATCTGAAAAATGACTTTCTAGAACCAATGCCATTTTCATTCAACTCAATAACTTGCCTGATATCATGACCTATTAAACACCTAGTTCTGTTATTTTTGACAAAAGATTTGAAGTTGTTATTCATTGGCAAAATGAATGGGGAAAGAAAGAAATTTAATAAAAAAATTATACAAAAGCAATACAAAAAAACTTAGTTTTATAAATATCTAGCAAAACTTTTGAGAAGTAAGTAAGGAGAGAAATCCACACATTTTCCAAATGTATTCACATAACAAAAACACAATAAAGGCTGGTTTACTGTATCGACTGCTCATACTCATCTCCATTTTGACTTCAATAATTCTAAGATACTAAAAAATTTAAATACTGTATTTAAAATTTAATACTTTTTTTTTACTTAACCATTTAACTCTTGATGTCACAAAAACTTTGACTTAACCATATAACTCTTGATGTCACAAAAACTTTGACTTAACCATATAACTCTTGATGTCACAAAAACTTTGACTTAACCATTTAACTCTTGATGTCACAAAAACTTTGACTTAACCATTTAACTCTTGATGTCACAAAAACTTTGACTTAACCATATAACTCTTGATGTCACAAAAACTTTGACTTAACCATTTAACTCTTGATGTCACAAAAACTTTGACTTAACCATTTAACTCTTGATGTCACAAAAACTTTGACTTAACCATTTAACTCTTGATGTCACAAAAACTTTGACTTAACCATATAACTCTTGATGTCACAAAAACTTTGACTTAACCATTTAACTCTTGATGTCACAAAAACTTTGACTTAACCATATAACTCTTGATGTCACAAAAACTTTGACTTAACCATATAACTCTTGATGTCACAAAAACTTTTTAAATTGTGTCATTGCACCACTGGTTACACTTTTTATAGCACTTCTTGGTTTCACCCCCTCCCCAAGAAAGTATATATATATATATATATATATATATATATATATATATATATATATATATATATATATATATATATAGTGTCGGCCTAAATTTAAATATATGCAACATTTGTGTACATGGCTTTAATCACTGCAGACGTTAATAGTAACGATTGTATCTACTATCTGTTAATAATACAGTTTGATTTTGTACATTTTGCAATTACTCAAAATTTGAAAGCAGGCAGAGAATTAGATATTTTACTTATACTTTAAATTGCATTTATCTATCTGAAACAAACAATACTCAAGTTATAGGCTTTTGAAACACAAAAAGTAGAATAAGTTCCACTTTCGGTTTCAGGAAATTACTGAAAAGTTGATACAGAACTACAAATTTGATATAATACTTATATATGAAATTTCATCAACCTAGCTGTAATGGTACTCGAGTTATCATGTTCACACATACACAGACATCCAGAAAAAATTTGCAAAACTCTATTTTTCCGACTCGGGGGTGGGGGTGGTGGTTGTGAAAATCTCAATTTCAGTTTTTTTTTTTTGCAAGATTATAATACTTCCTCTAAACTTTGAATACGAGAAAGTAAAACAAAGATTGTTTGTTGTTGATGAAATGTTTTTAAATTGTGGATTTTTTTAAAAGACCCACCCTATTTTTAAATTTTATTTTAAAGAGTACTGCCCCTTTCCTGACTAGGGCAAGTGAGAAAAGCAAAACGACCAAGGAGATAAAAGTTGAATGGAGAAAGTTCCCAAACAATGAAAGAAAATCAGTCACAAAAAAAGGAAGAGAAATTTCCAATTCAATTATTTCTAAGTTTAGATCAATAGCAGATCCCAGAAGTAGCTGGGCGCATTTAATTTTTTAACACAGACAAAAATTGACATAATTGTTACAACAACACTTATAATCTAAATCTTTAGATGCATGATCAAAATATTTAACACAACAGCCCAATTTAAATATAGAAATGAAAAAGGTAATGGAAATCCTAAGAAACAGAACATATCTGACTGACATTTTAAATGAAGCAAAAATAGAGATTTCTGAAAATGTGTAACTAGTCATATCTCAATGTAAGAAGGAAAATACAAACTCACCACTCTAGCTATTTTAGCTAATTTGGATTCTTTAAGTCTAGCACTTAGTGTTGGTGGCACAACCTTCTTTGCTCCTCTCAGAACATACGGCACGGACAAACTACTGTACAGATCAGAAAATACAGAGCATCATTTACACATCAGAAAATACAGAGCATCATTTACAGATCAGAAAATACAGAGCATCATTTACAGATCAGAAAATACAGAGCATCGTTTACACATCAGAAAATACAGAGCATCGTTTACACATCAGAAAATACAGAGCATCATTTACATATTGAAAACTGGAAATATTAAGTGTCACTTAAAAATGACGGAAAAAAAAAAAAGGAAAACTTGAATTAACTATAAAGAAGACAAATATCCAAGAAGACAAATATCACTTTTCCCATCAGTAAGCGAGTCTGTGTCCTACATGAAAGTGATACAGTCTGTGTCCTACATGAAAGTGTATAGTCTGTGTCCTACATGAAAGTGTACAGTCTGTGTCCTACATGAAAGTGATACAGTCTATGTCCTACATGAAAGTGATACAGTCTAGTCTGTGTCCTACATGAAAGTGTAGAGTCTAGTCTATGTCCTACATGAAAGTGATACAGTCTAGTCTGTGTCCTACATGAAAGTGTAGAGTCTAGTCTGTGTCCTACATGAAAGTGATAAGTCTAGTCTGTGTCTTACATGAAAGTGAAGGTCCAGAGTTCACTTACTATTTACTGGGACTAAAAATATATTTTTTTAATGCAGCATCAGCCAATGACTCTGCTGTGATGATTTTATCCGCTGTTGGGATGGCTATAGATGCTGGTCCTGGTGGAATGCGTTCCCTGATGCCAAAATAAGTGCATCTCTTCTTAACCTCTGACCCACAGCAAAAGCTAAAATTTAGAGAAATATTTCATTGGAATGAAATCCAAGACCAAATAAATCTAAGTGTTGAATAGAAAAAGTGAGCAACTCACATGGAACTATTTCTTTTAAATATATTCATCAGGTGGCCACGGATTGCATCTTTACTGCCATGGTGACCCTTCATTGGAATATCAAAAATGGGTTCAGATTTTTTTTTTACAGCTAACCAACTATCTGTATATTGAACTCACAACCATCTAGTTATACACAACCAAAAATTATATTTACACCTACATTTAGCAATTTTTTCAAACCAAAACTTTGGGAGCGACCCAAAATAAATGGTAGAATATCAGAATCCAAGTCAACATATCTTGTTCCCATTGTCATGATCAGATGAAACATGGTTATGTGAGTGATAGACAGCCTAGTCAAAAATTAAATATGGTCATATAGCTGACAAATAACTAAATATCTTAACAAACAACACAGACAGCTAAAAGCATTAAAAAAAATTAAGTAGAAATGAAATCTCAATTTTAATATTTGGCTACTTGCAAATAAAGTAATAACAAATAGCATAAATTAAAAGGGAAAATATGTAAAGTGTATCCATCTAGATTAAATCAAAAGGGAAAATATGTAAAAAGTTTACCAGTCTAGCTCCATGCGCTGTAAAAACTCCTGCCCATGGTTACAATGAGCACAAGCAAAGATAAAAAAGCGGTCGCCAATAAGCAACTCCTCTTGTATACTGGGGATGCAAGCTGAAGATAAATAAGGGAATATTTTGTAGACTGTGGAAGCTAGTTTTCAGCCACAAAAGTGGATTTCCAAATCATTATGTAAGTTAAGCTATTTTCTATAAACATGCACAAATCCATTATTTTTTCACTGGCTTTAACTCAGAGACCATACTATAATTCTAGCAGAATTATTATTGATCACCCAACTTCTACTATGATACTTCCTAGATATCCATTGAAACATTTCATGTTGTAGGGAACTGCATGAGCTACAAGTAGAAATTTAAAGTAAGTAATAATATATTTTTAAAGGGGGGTGCATGTGTGTGTTTGTTGGTTTAAGAGAATTATTACTTATCATTTCCAATCTTTCTCTTGGGAAAATTTGGTGAAAAATTCCGGTGTTACTGAAATAATCCCTAGTTATAGATAGGCCTATCAGCCATCACATAGTGGTAGTTACTGGCAAAAATGGTGTCCACGTCTAGTTGTGGACAAATCAATCCATGTAGATGTACTAATTTGGGCAGAGCTGGTGTTTTTATCATTGTAGCTTCTGCGTATCTACTTATAGATATATCTGCAACTGCTTATATCCTTTCACACCCGGTCAAGGTTTTCTACATTAAGCTTCCATATATATATTGTTTTTTAAAAGTTTCAAAAGGATGTTCATATCTTAAAAAAATTTTATAAACAGAAATTCGTTTGACCGGTAAGTGCTTATTTCTTCCAATGATTGAGGAAATACACACTGTTTATACCCTCTCACATTCTGTGATTATATTTGGCTATATTCAGCTTCTATTTATAAGCATACATATTTTTAGAATTGGTGAACAGGAATGTAAATTTTTAGAAATTTTAAAGACAAGTTTTTTCCCTTTCTCGTGAACCCATCCAGTGCATTGCTGTGGTCTAAGAAGAAAGGCTGACCCCATATTTTAAGAGAATTTCATCAATGCGTTAGCAATATTGTGTATTTGTATTTTTTGATGCGTGACCTTGTTTTCCAAAATAGTTATTTAAATATAAACAAAGCAAGCACTAAATTTCTTGGATCATTGTTTTTGTGGTGCCTGTTTGTTCAGACTAAAGGTCAGATGCCATACAGCGTGCTTTAGGAAAGCCTTGAGTGTAATCACCCTCAGTAATGGTGACCTTTATGCATTACTGCACTCCATCTGATCTCTATGGAACTGGGAAGTTGCTGGAAATACTTATGGGGAGTTTTCTGTATCAAAAATAATTTAAATTAGGCTGGTGTCACAGGCTTTCTTATGATCACAGAGACACCTACCCTTTCTTATAAGTGCAATACACTATCAGAAGGATACAATAGGCTACTATAATTGTTGACTAAATCGATTCAGGTGCTTATCTCTGTAGGTGTTGTGAATGGACCTTGGTGTATTGAAAGGGTTTGAGAGTATGTGCGCAGTGGAATGTGTGTTAATAAAAGATGTTGAATGTGATGAGGCAAGTAAGGATGTGACATGCCAGGATAGGATTTGGTTGTTAAGGGAAGCAGTTGCAGTTTAGTCTTGTAGCGTGAGGGTGTGGAAGTCATGTTGTCGTCGATGTAGCCATGTCTTTTATATGTAATCAAAAGATGAAATTGAACAATGTCGTCCTGTGATATTTTAAATTGAAACGTTTGTGTACGTGGTATTTCAAGTCTTATGACATCATAACAAAAGGGAGTCTGACATGAAATAATATTTACCTTCATGAAACCATTGTCTACATCGACAACATTGAAGCATCTTATTATACCAGCTGGAAAAAAAAAAGATTCAACGTTTTTAGATGTGAACTAAGCACAACACCTCTGAATAACAAAGAGGACAACACACCTTTTAATTTGAACAGGACAACACACATTTTAATTTGAACAACACAACACAGACATGTCTACCCTGACGACAAAAAGTAGGAACAGTCATACCTAAAAAGAGGAATTTGAAGCGAAAAAGAGAAACATACGTGCAGATACATTTTTGCCATGCCAAAAAAAAAGTAAAATAATTCCAGTGACATTATACACGGGAGAATAGATACAAGCAGAGGTTTAATGTTTGTTAGGTTTATATACTGCTTACATTTTTTCTTAAAACATAGGCTAACCAGTAAAATGAGAACTAGGAAACTAGGAGCCCAACAGCTAACTTTTCCGCATTATCTATTCTACCTATTGCAAGTCAACTAGGAAACTAGGAGCCCAACAGCTAACTTTTCCGCATTATCTATTCTACCTATTGCAAGTCAACTAGGAAACTAGGAGCCCAACAGCTAACTTTTCCGCATTATCTATTCTACCTATTGCAAGTCAACTAGGAAACTAGGAGCCCAACAGCTAACTTTTCCACATTATTCTACCTATTGCAAGTCAACTAGGAAATGGGACAATGTAACAAAGGGCAAACAATCGCTCTTCCATGTTCTTTTTTTTTCATTTGATTGATAAGTTGTTTTTTCAATTACTTATACATTTTCACTTTTTTTTCAAATTTGATAAAACGGAACAAACTGACGAAAGCTGAATGACGCAACAAGACAATTTATTTTTAAAACAGCCGAACAAATCTGTTTTTGGTGGGATGTTATGCATGTCTGACACACACTTAAATGACAACCAGACAAAACACCTTTAAATAAGGGTAAAACAACACACCTTTAAATAAGGGTAAAACAACACACCTTTAAATAAGGGTAAAACAACACACCTTTAAATAAGGGTAAAACAACACACCTTTAAATAAGGGTAAAACAACACACCTTTAAATAAGGGTAAAACAACACACCTTTAAATAAGGGTAAAACAACACACCTTTAAATGAAGACAAGACAACACACAGGGATGTGACCAGACCATGAAAAAAAATAGGAAATTTCTTTCGGACAAGAACTCAATATGTTTTATCGCAGCCGTTAGTTAATTATTGTTTATTATAGCTAATATTTGAAATAAATTAAAGTTTATGTTACTCTAAAAAAACAATAAAGACCTGTCTAAATGCAATGTAATGTTTACTTTAATATATATACAACTTTTAAAAAAAATTAAATTTATTATATAACAAAAAAGTAAATAAAGTTTTATTTTAACATTAAGCTAATTTAAATTGTAATGATCTAGTTGTACTGGTTTTCAATTTTCTTCCCTATAATATAAGTTATTTTCTTTTAAAGACAACCATGATAAAAATGTAAGTCTTCTAAAGAACCTAGATTCAGATTATTGTAATTTAAAAGTATCAGTTCATGTGCTGGAGAATGAAGACCAGATTAGCTGCAATTAGAAAGGGTCTTATATTTATATTAAAAAGTCTTTTGGAATTAATACTTGTAAAAACAAGTGAACCAAAATTAACCACTTTGATAGCCAAGCAACATCATTATTTATGCTTTTGGAATAGCTGTAGATTGTTATTAAAAGTAGTGGGTATCATATTTTTTCTTTCACAAATAAAACCCCAAACACAGACTTGGGGTCATGGTGAGGTTACAAGAGCCACAGTTGCTAGTTAGTCTTGTCCTCATTTACCCTTTGCAACATTAATTTTAGTTTTCGAAATAAAATTGAAACATAGAGAAACTGTTGACTTGGGTAGCTTTAAAATCAGAATTAATACTCTATTAGATAGTTATGTGGAATGCGCACGTGGGTTGTTTCTTTAGAAGTGATTTCCATTTTTTCTAGTTTTTAAAACTTAGTAAAAAACTCAGAAAAAATAGAAAAATCAGCGGAAAAAATGAAATTTGCAAAGGAATATTTCAGCCGAAACGGGAAAAAAATGGATTTGTTCTAAAAATCTGAACAGTCACATGCCTGCTTTAAATGACAACAACACACCTAAAAATGATAACAAGACTTACATGCCTGGCCCGCCACAGTAACAGAAACACTGTTCCACATTTGAAGTGTGACAAGCATTCCATGTTAGATACTTGATCTGATGAAAAAGACATTGGCATATAATGTCCTACAGTGCACAAGTGTTAGAGTAAACCAACAATCTATATATATATATAATTCTCTTCTGGGAGACGCTAGAAAACAAGCTGTAAGTGCGCCTAGCAGTCCCCTCCCTTCCTCTGTAGGCATATCTCCATTACTCCCCCCATGGTCTGGTGAGCTGTTGTTCACGCTATATGTTTACAAGCGTAGAGACGGGTTTAGTGACGGCTATTAGGGGCAGATAATTTAGTTTGAAACTATATTAAACTTAGGGGAGGTAACTAAGAGGAGGCTGTTTTCACAGGGGGGGGGGGGGGGGGGGAGGGAAGGAGAGAGAGAAAGGAGGATTTTAATGTTTTAAAGCAAATATATTTTCAGTGGCAGCATTAGTACTGTCGAATTCACAAATTATGAATTACTGAAAAGTAGAAAAAAAAAAACAACAACTAAATAGCGGCGTATGATATGCCGCGGGTCGGCTCGTGAGAAATAATATCCTACAGTGCACAAGTGTTAGAGTAAACCAACAATAAGAAGAGTCCTCACCTGGTATGGGAAAAACTGGCTCATGTAGGAAAACTTGTCAGCTTCAAAGATACAAATTTCAAATCAATAAAATGACAACAAACATTTTAAAAGTCACAATTCTATTATTAGAGAGGTTAAAATCAACAAGACATCTAACTTGGACATACCTAAAGGGCCAGTACTCTTGGCACCGCCAGCCTGCATTAAAAATATATAAACAAATACACACATCAATGTAACATTGCTTTTAAGACAGGCATATATTTATTCTGATGCTATCATACTAAAGATACAAGTTACATTTTAGTAGTGAATGCATTCAATAAATTAAATTTTAAAATTACGATTGACCACAATTTTAACTCAGAAAAGTTGATAATTCAATACTTAAGTGCTGTAAATTTTAAAATTAAAAATATTTAAAACCCAGTTATTTGTAACATAATTAAGCAAACCTACTTGTGTCATAATTAAGCAAACCTACTTGTGTCATAATTAAACCTGCTTGTGTCATAATTAGGTAAACCTACTTGTGTCATAATTAGGTAAACCTACTTGTGTCTTAATTAAACCTACTTGTGTCATAATTAAGCAGACCTACTTGTGTCATAATATAACCTACTTGTGTCATAATATAACCTACTTGTGGCATAATATAACCTACTTGTGGCATAAAAAAAAACCTACATCAATAACCAAAGCAGTGTTGGTTACCTGAGCACAAGCAGCAAAGACACAAATTCTGCAGACAAACTTTTCATCCACATCATCTACAGGTGGCACATGACACATCTGGTGGTAATCTGATGGTAATCAAATGATATATTTTGGTGGTAATCTGATGGTAATCAAATGATATATTCTGGTGGTAATCTGATGGTAATCAAATGATATATTCTGGTGGTAATCTGATGGTAATCAAATGATATATTCTGGTGGTAATCTGATGGTAATCAAATGATATATTCTGGTGGTAATCTGATGGTAATCAAATGATATATTCTGGTGGTAATCAAATGATATATGCCTGTGTAAACTAACAATTAGCCTGGTTAATATGTAAATGAAAATTATAATTAAAGTGGGTGCTAAACAAGAGAAATTACCTCTGTCACAATTGCTGCACTTGACCAAAAGGTTGGTTGAGGTTGCTTCTTCTTTACCACAACAATGACACTGGGTACTGCCTTCCTCTTTTTCTGTGCAGAATACATTTTTAAAAATCTAGATTTCTATTTTTTTAAACAGGACGATTCCAATAAAACAATAAATTCCTTAACTTGAACCAACTGAGTATTCTGCTAATTGAAGTGATTATTCTAATCAGCCAACCCAGCAAACTTTTACCCCAAGAGTAGCCTCTCATGTAAAAACAAACCTTCTAACAGATCTTTAAAGTGCACTGTAGCTGTGGACTTGTCTTCAAACTCCACCATACAAGTTTTGTGTGAACTAGAGACCTGTCAGCAGAGAAAGATTGCATTAACCACAGCATGTTCTTGTATTGCCTACAACAAGTTACTAAATCCATTTTTTAATATTGACCTATTAATTTAAAATAAACTTTTTGAATGAAGATAGGGAACAGCTTATTAAAAAAGAAAAGTCTTTTTACCTGGCTTAATTTTTTAATAATCACTTTTGTGTGGAAATAAACGAGTTATGTGATAATAATATAGGCAACTGCTACTGTCACTACTGATAAATACTGTATATATTTATAATAACAATACAGACACAGTCTTAACAGTATACCTTGGTAACTCTGACTAAATAAAATAATCCATCTGTCCAACGAGCTAATACTTTGTCTTTTTCTTTGCTTTTCAAGCTGAGTTTCAATGGCATAGACTTGAACTTTTGACCATCTGACTTTCTTGGCTTCATTTTCAGTGAATTAGTAACATTAAAAAAGTCTTTAATGAATTTTTTAATATGTGGTGATAATAGTTAACATTCCACTTTTTGAAATTATGCTAAAGTTTTTTTTAGCAATCCTTTAAAACTGAAGATGATGTGTGTCCAAGATTTAAGCACTGTGCCTAGGTGTGGCCAACTGTGAACAAAAAGTTTGAAATGCAATGACATCAGTGTGGATTTTTAAAAAGAAGGTAGTCCAACATTTCAGTTTGCCCTTAAAATTAGCACCTAGATCTAGCCTAGAAATCTAGATAGGCCTATAAAGTTTAATTCTTATTAGGCCTAGAATCTAGGTCTAAATTTAATATCTAGAATAGTGACTAGACACTATGGATCTAGATCTATATCTGTAAATACTATCTAGAGATCTAGATAACTTTTTACTTTTTTTACGTATTCATGTTCAACAGGTCCATTCATTAATTTAATTAAAATTTAATTAATGTCATTTTGATTATTAATAAATATTAATGGGATACGACTACTTAAGACCCACTAGATCTAGTCTAGTGTTTTGCAAAAAGTGCAATATGTAAATTAAGCAACAACTGAGAAGTAGAATCTAGAAAACAGGGTCTTCGCATTAAAAAACACAAGCTGCAAGCAAACATCACAGTGAGCCTAACACTAGACTACTCAGTGATTCACGTCCATGTGTGTGTAGACTAGAAATCTAAGATGCAACAAGTTGCCGCAGTTTTAGTGAAATCTCAAGCATATTTTAGATCTAATTACCCATACGCAAAAGAGCGAATAGCATTATACAATTTTTTTTAACTAAAATTTTTCTTTTTCATGATTTTGAAAACATTTCTTAGCAAAATCATCACATTTCACATTTGTATAGCCCAAATTACTTTGCAATCTCCCGCCATGTTTTAGCAACGGCGTAGCGATTTCTATCACTGGTTTAATGCTACTGTTAGACCTAAACATTTTAAAATATGTATGTTAAAATATAATAAAACAAATCAAACGACGCAGCATACGTCTTACTATTTTAAAATGTACATAACATTGCATAACTCTTTCATGAAATATATTTAATTAATCAAAGGAACAAAGGACTATTTTATGAACCGAAGTAAACTTGATCTGTGCGCAGCATTTCCCCATTCAATCGGAAACTCCGCGGGTTTTATTCGTTATGGGAGACTATGCCTATATTATTATGTAGACTACGACAAAACTTCCATTCACAATTATTTCCCATTTATAAAGCTTTTTTCTCCGGATAAACGAATGGGGGGGGGGGGGGGAGAGAGAGAAGAGGAATGGGCGGACACTGTTTTATAATTCAAGTAAGGCTAGGCCTATATAATATTTTCAGCATAAATTATATATTTGTTTCTATTCCGTCCGGAGCGATGCCTGAAGCTAACACTGCTATTAATAATTTTAAGACAGCAATCCAAAAACAAAGTCCTAAGTAAATTCATAAAAATATGATTAGGTTTAATAAACCGTGTTTTATTATTCGCTTGTTCGGAGGGGGGGGGGGTGAAAAAGTTTCCCCACATAAGCGTTCTGTCACATAGATCTATCCCCTTTACATTTTGTTTAGTGACAGGATTTGCTGCACACTATCGAAAATGTATTTTGTTAAAAAAATATTTAACTGCTCGAACTCAGTTGACGAGTGTACACTGATGTATTAATATTTGTTTAATTTTTACAAAACCACAATCAATGCAAGGATGCGAGAAAATAAAATTTAGGGTCTATTTTCACAAGATTATGTTGCAGACTGTATTTTTAATTAAAACAGGAGTGATCTCCCCTACTCCTCATATGTTCCTATGTGTGTGTGGGGATAGGGGGATTTTTGATGCATTACTAGTGGTAATGTGATTCAGACCGGTACTTGCAGTGTGTATAGCAACATTCAGTGTGGTACTAGTGATATGAACAGCCACATTCAGTGAGGCACTAGACAGTTTACTTGCTTTATTTTCAACATTGTTTCAAAATGTTTCAAATGAAAATAAACACAATTGTCAGACAGCTGTAAAAGGAACATTTACAACGTACACACATTTACAACGTACACATGTTTTCAGCAATTGATTCTTTATTGACTGAGTAAACAAATACTGTAGACTAAGCAGAAAATGATTTGACTGTCTACAAGAATCTATCCTTTAATCATCATCATTTGCTTGAGGTGGCGCTAGCCCTCCAAAGACTTCAGAGGGTACAGATTGTTGCTCAACTTCCAGCTCTGGAAACAAGAAATTGTCAAACTTAGCTGTGTGATCTAGATGTTGGCCCAGCCCCCCCCCCCCCCCCCCCCCCCCAGAATGTCATCAAACTTAGTTGTGTGATCTAGATGTTGGCCCAGCCCCCCCCCCCCCCCCCCCCCAGAATGTCATCAAACTTAGTTGTGTGATCTAGATGTTGGCCCAGCCCCCCCCCCCCCCCCCCCCCCAGAATGTCATCAAACTTAGTTGTGTGATCTAGATGTTGCCCCCCCCCCCCCCCACAACTAACTGAATGTCATCAAACTTAGCTGTATGATCTAGATGTTGGCCCAGCCCCCCCCCCCCCCCACAACTAACTGAATGTCATCAAACTTAGTTGTATGATCTAGATGTTAGCCCAGCCCCCCCCCCCCCCCCCACAACTAACTGAATGTCATCAAACTTAGTTGTATGATCTAGATGTTAGCCCAGACCCCCCCCCCCCCAACAGAATGTCATCAAACTTGTGTGATCTAGATGTAGGCCCAGTGCCCCCCCCCCCATCAAACTTGTATGATCTAGATGTTGGCCCAGCCCCCCCCCACCCAGAATGTCATCAAACTTAGTTGTGTGATCTAGATGTTGGCCCAGCCCCCCCCCCCCCAGAATGTCATCAAACTTAGTTGTGTGATCTAGATGTTGGCCCAGCCCCCCCCCCCCAGAATGTCATCAAAACTTAGTTGTGTGATCTAGATGTTGGCCCAGCCCCCCCCCCCCCAGAATGTCATCAAACTTAGTTGTGTGATCTAGATGTTGGCCCAGCCCCCCCCCCCCCCCCAGAATGTCATCAAACTTAGTTGTGTGATCTAGATGTTGGCCCATCCCCCCCCCCCCCAGAATGTCATCAAACTTAGTTGTGTGATCTAGATGTTGGCCCAGCCCCCCCCCCCCCCCCCCCCCCCCAGAATGTCATCAAACTTAGTTGTGTGATCTAGATGTTGGCCCAGCCCCCCCCCCCCCCCCCAGAATGTCATCAAACTTAGTTGTGTGATCTAGATGTTGGCCCAGCCCCCCCCCCCCCCATCAAACTTGTGTGATCTAGATGTTAGCCCAGGCCCCCCCCCCCCCAACAGAATGTCATCAAACTTGTGTGATCTAGATGTTAGCCCAGTGCCCCCCCCCCCCCCCCCATCAAACTTGCTGTATGATCTAGATGTTGTGCCCTACCAAGTAACAAATCATGGAAAAGCAAACCTCACCTTCTACCTCTTCATCAGTCTCATCCTCATCAATGTTAATTTCTTCAGGGTTGTTGGTCTTGGTAAGTTCCCCTAGCTCTTCTTGTGTGCTTCTGGTTGGTGACAAAACCAATTAAAAAAACAACAACACGCTAGCATAGACTAAACTAGTTCCGGTCAAAATGTAGTTTCATGTACCTGGCTATACATGATTCATACACATACAAAGAAGAGAGCACACAAAAACAAAAGTTTGATGTACCTGGCTATACATGATTCATACACATACAAAGATGAGAGCACACAAAAACAAAAGTTTGATGTACCTGGCTATACATGATTCATACACATACAAAGATGAGAGCACACAAAAACAAAAGTTTGATGTACCTGGCTATACATGATTCATACACATACAAAGATGAGAGCACACAAAAACTAAACCATAAAGATAAATTCCACAAAAATGTGGTCCACAAAAATGAGACCAAACAAAGATGGAGACCACATGAAGAAGGGGACCACACATGACTAACCGGACGAATAGAAGCTTTTTCTCTGCCTGTGCTTTTTCCTGTAGAGATTCTTGTACCAGTTGTCTGGCCCGGGCTTCTAAGTGCTGCATCTCATCACCAACATCTACATAAATACAAGACATTAGCAACATCTACACAAGTACAAGACATCAGTAATATCTACACAAATACAAGACATCAGTAATATCTACACAAATACAAGACATCAGTAATATCTACACAAATACAAGACATCAGTAATATCTACACAAATACAAGACATCAGTAATATCTACACAAATACAAGACATCACCAACATCTACACAAATACAAGACATCAGTAATATCTACACAAATACAAGACATCAGTAATATCTACACAAATACAAGACATCACCAACATCTACACAAATACAAGACATCACCAACATCTACACAAATACAAGACATCACCAACATCTACACAAATACAAGACATCAGTAATATCTACACAAATACAAGACATCACCAACATCTACACAAATACAAGACATCACCATCATCTACACAAATACAAGACATCACCAACATCTACACAAATACAAGACATCACCAACATCTACACAAATACAAGACATCAGCAACATCTACACAAATACAAGACATCACCAACATCTACATAAATACAAGACATCACCAACATCTACACAAATACAAGACATCAGTAATATCTACACAAATACAAGACATCACCAACATCTACACAAATACAAGACATCAGTAATATCTACACAAATACAAGACATCACCAACATCTACACAAATACAAGACATCACCAACATCTACACAAATACAAGACATCACCAACATCTACACAAATACAAGACATCACCAACATCTACACAAATACAAGACATCACCAACATCTACACAAATACAAGACATCACCATCATCTACACAAATACAAGACATCACCAACATCTACATAAATACAAGACATCACCAACATCTACACAAATACAAGACATCAGTAATATCTACACAAATACAAGACATCACCAACATCTACACAAATACAAGACAACAGTAATATCTACACAAATACAAGACATCACCAACATCTACACAAATACAAGACATCACCAACATCTACACAAATACAAGACATCACCAACATCTACACAAATACAAGACATCACCAACATCTACACAAATACAAGACATCACCAACATCTACACAAATACAAGACATCACCAAAATCTACACAAATACAAGACATCACCAACATCTACACAAATACAAGACATCACCAACATCTACACAAATACAAGACATCAACAACATCTACACAAATACAAGACATCACCAACATCTACACAAATATTAGACATCACCAACATTTAAATGTTAACCAAAACACATATTGACTAAAGCACATGTTGACTAAAGCGCATGTTGTCTGACGCACATGTTGACTAAAGCACATATTAACTTAGCACATGTTGAGTTAAGCACACCTTGACTAAAGCACACATTACCTAAAGCATATGTTGAGTAAAGCACATTTTGACTAAAGCACATGTTGACTTAAGCACATGTTGACTTAAGCACATATTGACTTAAGCAGGTGTTAACTAAAGCAGGTGTTGACTAAAGCACGTTTTGACTAAAGCACAATTTGACTTAAGCACATGTTGACTTAAGCACATGTTGACTTAAGCACAATTTGACTAAAGCACATTTTGACTAAAGCACGTTTTGACTAAAGCACATGCTTATTAAAGCACATGTTACTAAAGCACATGTTGACTAAAGCACATGTTTATTAAAGCACACATTGACTAAAGCACATGTTGACTAAAGCACCTGTTGACTTAAGCACAGGTCGACTTAAGGGGATATGCACATTTTTTTCCTATTTTTTACAATTTAACATCTAAAGCCTTTTGAATACTTTTATCATGTTTGGCATATGAAAGTAAGTATTAAACAGCAAAAAAAGGGTTGAAAACAATTTTGGTTGTCATGGAAACCCAAAAAAACCTCCGCCATTTTGAATTTTTTGGTACTTTTAAAAATGCTCAGGCTTTTTATTTATGCACCTATAGCAATCAAATTTAAACTGCTTATATTTCAGTATATATTAAACTTTTGTCACAAAAACTTTTTGAAAAAGCTACTAGTAAGAATTTTAAAGTCTAAAAAATCATACCATTTTTAGTGTTCAAAAGTTTCAAAATTTGCATATTAATTACCAAATACTTTTTTCTATGAAAGCCCCCACAATTCCCTCGTGACAAAAGTTGTATTTTTGGATGAACAACAATTACTGAAAGTATGGTAGCAATTGTTTAATAAATAAAAAAGAAGTAGGCTTTAAAGTGTTAAAAACCTTCCAACTGAGAAAGTAACAAAAAGTAGGTCATGAAAATACCATATCTGTGTAAACTGCAAAACCGATTGTAAGCTTTGGGTGTTTCCGTGATGATGGAAATTAAGATTATCAAATAATGAGAAATTCAGCTTTCCAATGATGCCAAATACAATATGATGATGGATATAAAACTTTTCATAGAGAGCATGTAAGATTGGGAAAAATTGATTATTTTTTAATTAACAGGGTCATAAAAATGGAAATTTAAACACCTAAAAAATTTTTTCTCTCTTTAAAGTTATTATTTTCTTTATACAAAAATGGACAAAGTATCCAAAAGTGCAAGAAATCCATCATGACGAAAAACAAGAAATTTTGTGATTTTTTGCAGCGCATATCCCCTTAAGAACGTGTTTACTAAAGCACACGTTGACTAAAGCATATGTATACTAAAGCATGTTGACTAAAGCATATGTTGACTAAAGCAGACGTGGACTAAAGCACATGTTGACCAAAGCAGACGTGGAGTAAAGCACAATGCATGCCAACAGTTACCTGCACTGCTACCCTCCTGTTTCTTGCTCTGTGCTGCCAACATCTGGGCTGACATGAAGTTCACCTGTTGGGTCAAGGTCAAAGCAAAGTAAGACAACATGATAAGAACAAGAGGGATGTACGTGGTCAGTAGACCAAGACTTACTTGGGTGCTATACGTGGTCAGTAGCAGAGGTGTAGCGACCCTTCCCGGCGCCCAGGGACAAACTTTTCAATTTGCACCCCCCCCCCCCCTCAAACTTTCGATTTGCAACCCCCTCAACCTTTTAATTTATTTTTCCAACCCATTTTGGCGCCCCTTAAGGTCGGCGCCCGGGGACATATGTCCCCCCCCCGCTATGCTACTGGACAGTAGACCAAGACTTACTTGGGTGTTGTACGTGGCCTGCACACTTCTCTTGATCCTCAACATCTCCCGTACAGTGTCCTCATTCCCATGGTTGATCTCAAATTCTTTCCATGAGTCCCAAAATTGTGGCGCCACCTGCAACACTAAAGTTCTTATAAAACATCAAATTGTGGCGCCACCTGCAACACTAAAGTTCTTATAAAACATCAAACAAATTGTGGCGCCACCTGCAACACTAAAGTTCTTATAAAACATCAAACAAATTGTGGCGCCACCTGCAACACTAAAGTTCTAATAAAACATCAAACAAATTGTGGCACCACCTGCAACACTAAAGTTCTTATAAAACATCAAACAAATTGTGGCGCCACCTGCAACACTAAAGTTCTTATAAAACATCAAACAAATTGTGGCGCCACCTGCAACACTAAAGTTCTTATAAAACATCAAACAAATTGTGGCACCACCTGCAACACTAAAGTTCTTATAAAACATCAAACAAATTGTGGCACCACCTGCAACACTAAAGTTCTTATAAAACATCAAACAAATTGTGGCGCCACCTGCAACACTAAAGTTCTTATAAAACATCAAACTAATTGTGGCGCCACCTGCAACACTAAAGTTCTTATAAAACATCAAACAAATTGTGGCACCACCTGTTAGTCTGATAGTAAAAAAAGTTTACCCTGGGGTCACTGATCTGTGAGCCATGAGCATAGATAGCTCGAGCTCTATCTATTTCACCCAACTTTTTCTCCAGGTCAGCAAAACGTAGACACATCTCTCTAGAAGAAAAGACAGTGCAACAATCAACAACACAAAGAAAATAACAAACATTGCATCACTAGATATAGACAACAATTATTTCTACATTAACTTGGCTGCTCAGTTTTAGTCGATTAAATTTTAGAGCACCTGTAGCACACACCTGGGGGGGGGGGAGGAATAGAGAGTTGACACACCTTACACACACCAAATTGTGAGAGTTGACACACCTTACACACACCAAATTGTAGGGACACAGTGACACACAGTTTCATGGTGTGGGGCATCCACACAGTTTGATGGTGTGGGGCGTCCACACAGTTTGATGGTGTGGGGCGTCCACACAGTTTGATGGTGTGGGGCGTCCACACAGTTTCATGGTGTGGGGCGTCCACACAGTTTGATGGTGTGGGGCGTCCACACAGTTTGATGGTGTGGGGCGTCCACACAGTTTGATGGTGTGGGGCGTCCACACAGTTTGATGGTGTGGGGCGTCCACACAGTTTGATGGTGTGGGGCGTCCACACAGTTTGATGGTGTGGGGCGTCCACACAGTTTCATGGTGTGGGGCATCCACACAGTTTCATGGTGTGGGGCTTCCACACAGGTTCATGGTGGGTGTAGCACTTGAATAAATATCTATTTTTATTTAGTTGACCACAAATGTGGTCCCATATTAATTTAGTTGACCACAAATGCGGTCCCATATTAATTTAGTTGACCACAAATGCGGTCCCATATTAATTTAGTTGACCACAAATGCGGTCCCATATTAATTTAGTTGACCACAAATGCGGTCCCATATTAATTTAGTTGACCACAAATGTGGTCCCATATTCTGGTCAATGTTAAAGCTCAGCTGACCTGGCCTGATCATTGGATAAAACTTCAATGGCCGTCTCGTAGATGGTTCTTGTGTGGGTGACCCCATACACCTCCGCTGCTTTTTTTATGTAAATATTGAACATCTGAAAACATAAAGTAACTGTTGAACATCTGAAAACATAAAGTAACTGTAGAACATCTGAAATCATAAAGTAACTGTAGAACATCTGAAAACATAAAGTAACTGTAGAACATCTGAAAACATAAAGTAACTGTTGAACATCTGAAAACATAAAGTAACTGTTGAACATCTGAAAACATAAAGTAACTGTAGAACATCTGAAAACATAAAGTAACTGTTGAACATCTGAAAACATAAAGTAACTGTTGAACATCTGAAAACATAAAGTAACTGTTGAACATCTGAAAACATAAAGTAACTGTTGAACATCTCAAAACATAAAGTAACTGTTGAACATCTGAAAACATAAAGTAACTGTTGAACATCTGAAAACATAAAGTAACTGTTGAACATCTGAAAACATAAAGTAACTGTTGAACATCTGAAAACATAAAGTAACTGTTGAACATCTGAAAACATAAAGTAACTGTTGAACATCTGAAAACATAAAGTAACTGTAGAACATCTGAAAACATAAAGTAACTGTTGAACATCTGAAAACATAAAGTAACTGTTGAACATCTGAAAACATAAAGTAACTGTAGAACATCTGAAAACATAAAGTAACTGTTGAACATCTGAAAACATAAAGTAACTGTTGAACATCTGAAAACATAAAGTAACTGTTGAACATCTCAAAACATAAAGTAACTGTTGAACATCTGAAAACATAAAGTAACTGTTGAACATCTGAAAACATAAAGTAACTGTTGAACATCTGAAAACATAAAGTAACTGTTGAACATCTGAAAACATAAAGTAACTGTTAAACATCTGAAAACATAAAGTAACTGTTGAACATCTGAACAAATATTCATAAAATAAATGTTGAACATTTAAAAACATATTTATAAAGCCAGTGTTGAGCATCTGAAAACAAATATTGATAAAAGATATTTTGAACTTGAATGCTGAGCATCAAAAAGAAAGATTTAAAAACATTACCTCGTACTGCTCCGCTGGTAAGACAGCTCGGGTAGCCCTTTCATAGACAGCCATAGCGTGACGAGCCATTCCATGTTCCATCTCAAGTTTAGCATAGAGTAGGTAGATTTCTGATAGGTAAAGAATGGAGTCAACAAAAAACTCTACTTGTATTACCTGCAGGAGATTCTACTTGTATTACCTGCAGGAGATTCTACTTGTATTACCTGCAGGAGATTCTACTTGTATTACCTGCAGGAGATTCTACTTGTATTACCTGCAGGAGATTCTACTTGTATTACCTGCAGGAGATTCTACTTGTATTACCTGCAGGAGATTCTACTTGTATTACCTGCAGGAGATTCTACTTGTATTACCTGCAGGAGATTCTACTTGTATTACCAACCATAATCACAGCACAAGCAAGTTCAAGAAAATAGTCATCATTTACCTTTGGCATATTGCTCTGGACATTTCTCTAAGCACTGTTCAAATAGATCTCTGGCTCTCTCCAATTTTGTGCCTTCCTGAAAACATTTTTAAAGTCAAATGATTTGTCTACCACTTTTAAATGATTTTGACAATCTATTATATAAAAGTCAAATGATTTGTCTACCACTTTTAAATGATTTTGACAATCTATTATATAAAAGTCAAATGATTTGTCTACCACTTTTAAAGGATTTTGACAATCTATTATATAAAAGTCAAATGATTTGTCTACCACTTTTAAATGATTTTGACAATCTATTATATAAAAGTCAAATGATTTGTCTACCACTTTTAAATGATTTTGACAATCTATTATATAAAAGTCAAATGATTTGTCTACCACTTTTAAATGATTTTGACAATCTATTATATAAAAGTCAAATGATTTGTCTACCACTTTTAAATGATTTTGACAATCTATTATATAAAAGTCAAATGATTTGTCTACCACTTTTAAATGATTTTGACAATCTATTATATAAAAGTCAAATGATTTGTCTACCACTTTTAAATGATTTTGACAATCTATTATATAAAAGTCAAATGATTTGTCTACCACTTTTAAATGATTTTGACAATCTATTATATAAAAGTCAAATGATTTGTCTACCACTTTTAAATGATTTTGACAATCTATTATATAAAAGTCAAATGATTTGTCTACCACTTTTAAATGATTTTGACAATCTATTATATAAAAGTCAAATGATTTGTCTACCACTTTTAAATGATTTTGACAATCTATTATATAAAAGTCAAATGATTTGTCTACCACTTTTAAATGATTTTGACAATCTATTATATAAAAGTCAAATGATTTGTCTACCACTTTTAAATGATTTTGACAATCTATTATATAAAAGTCAAATGATTTGTCTACCACTTTTAAATGATTTTGACAATCTATTATATAAAAGTCAAATGATTTGTCTACCACTTTTAAATGATTTTGACAATCTATTATATAAAAGTCAAATGATTTGTCTACCACTTTTAAATGATTTTGACAATCTATTATATAAAAGTCAAATGATTTGTCTACCACTTTTAAATGATTTTGACAATCTATTATATAAAAGTCAAATGATTTGTCTACCACTTTTAAATGATTTTGACAATCTATTATATAAAAGTCAAATGATTTGTCTACCACTTTTAAATGATTTTGACAATCTATTATATAAAAGTCAAATGATTTGTCTACCACTTTTAAATGATTTTGACAATCTATTATATAAAAGTCAAATGATTTGTCTACCACTTTTAAATGATTTTGACAATCTATTATATAAAAGTCAAATGATTTGTCTACCACTTTTAAATGATTTTGACAATCTATTATATAAAAGTCAAATGATTTGTCTACCACTTTTAAATGATTTTGACAATCTATTATATAAAAGTCAAATGATTTGTCTACCACTTTTAAATGATTTTGACAATCTATTATATAAAAGTCAAATGATTTGTCTACCACTTTTAAATGATTTTGACAATCTATTATATAAAAGTCAAATGATTTGTCTACCACTTTTAAATGATTTTGACAATCTATTATATAAAAGTCAAATGATTTGTCTACCACTTTTAAATGATTTTGACAATCTATTATATAAAAGTCAAATGATTTGTCTACCACTTTTAAATGATTTTGACAATCTATTATATAAAAGTCAAATGATTTGTCTACCACTTTTAAATGATTTTGACAATCTATTATATAAAAGTCAAATGATTTGTCTACCACTTTTAAATGATTTTGACAATCTATTATATAAAAGTCAAATGATTTGTCTACCACTTTTAAATGATTTTGACAATCTATTATATAAAAGTCAAATGATTTGTCTACCACTTTTAAAGGATTTTGACAATCTATTATATAAAAGTCAAATGATTTGTCTACCACTTTTAAATGATTTTGACAATCTATTATATAAAAGTCAAATGATTTGTCTACCACTTTTAAATGATTTTGCAAATCTATTATATAAAAGTCAAATGATTTGTCTACCACTTTTAAATGATTTTGACAATCTATTATATAAAAGTCAAATGATTTGTCTACCACTTTTAAATGATTTTGACAATCTATTATATAAAAGTCAAATGATTTGTCTACCACTTTTAAATGATTTTGACAATCTATTATATAAAAGTCAAATGATTTGTCTACCACTTTTAAATGATTTTGACAATCTATTATATAAAAGTCAAATGATTTGTCTACCACTTTTAAATGATTTTGACAATCTATTATATAAAAGTCAAATGATTTGTCTACCACTTTTAAATGATTTTGACAATCTATTATATAAAAGTTGTGCAGGCGGGTGGATGGCATCATGATTCATTGCACGTGATAGAAATCTAATAGCACACACTGATTTCATCAATTTTTATCACACTTGAGTACTATAACTTTCACTAAACTACAATGGGGCATTAGTCTTTCATTAAACTACAATGGGGCATTAGTCTTTCATTAAACTACAATGGGGCATTAGTCTTTCACTAAACTACAATGGGGCATTAGTCTTACACTAAACTACAATGGGGCATTAGTCTTTCACTAAACTACAATGGGGCATTAGTCTTACACTAAACTACAATGGGGCATTAGTCTTTCAATAAACTACAATGGGGCATTAGTCTTACACTAAACTACAATGGGGCATTAGTCTTTCACTAAGCTTCAATGGGGCATTAGTCTTTCACTAAACTGAATTAGGCAGGGTGCAATTCGCCCCGGGCTATCCTCAGACTTTCTCCTAAACCCATGGCAATGCGTGGTGACGGGCACGCTAGTCTCCTAAAGTTCTACAACATATTTTTTGTTTACTTACGTAACGTGAAATAAACTTTGACAGGTAAGTTGTCCAAAGGTCATATACATTGGGCCACTTGAAAAGTGCAATACCTTTTTCATAAGCCTGGAAAGAAAATAGAAAGCTCATTTATAATTCCATTTTCCAAGTGCATTTGACTTTCCTAATGTTATCCAGAAACTGAGTTGAGTTGATCACATTTTAAATATACATTTTGGTATCTGGCAAGTCTACACACAAAATTTCAAGTCTGAGACAATGAGCTTTATTGACAAAAATAGATCATCATTAGACATGAGCTTTATTGACAAAAATAGATCATCATTAGACATGAGCTTTATTGACAAAAATAGATCATCATTAGACATGAGCCTGACTTGGGAGTTTTTCTAGTTTCAAATCAAATTAGGCCAGACAACCCACAAACAAACAGACATTGGTAATAAAAACAAATGTCTTAAACTAAATGATGGGAAATAATATCTCTCACTGTTAACTTTTTCATTCAACCAACAGTAGCCCACTATCTTTAATTCAACCAACAGTAGCCCAATGTCTTTAATTCAACCAACAGTAGCCCACTGTCTTTAATTCAACCAACAGTAGCCCACTGTCTTTAATTCAACCAACAGTAGCCCACTGTCTTTAATTCAACCAACAGTAGCCCACTGTCTTTAATTCAACCAACAGTAGCCCACTGTCTTTAATTCAACCAACAGTAGCCCACTGTCTTTAATTCAACCAACAGTAGCCCACTGTCTTTAATTCAACCAACAGTAGCCCACTGTCTTTAATTCAACCAACAGTAGCCCACTGTCTTTAATTCAACCAACAGTAGCCCACTGTCTTTAATTCAACCAACAGTAGCCCACTGTCTTTAATTCAACCAACAGTAGCCCACTGTCTTTAATTCAACCAACAGTAGCCCACTGTCTTTAATTCAACCAAGCAACAGTAGCCCACTGTCTTTAATTCAACCAAGCAACAGTAGCCCACTGTCTTTAATTCAACCAACAGTAGCCCACTGTCTTTAATTCAACCAACAGTAGCCCACTGTCTTTAATTCAACCAATAGTAGCCCACTGTCTTTAATTCAACCAACAGTAGCCCACTGTCTTTAATTCAACCAAGCAACAGTAGCCCACTGTCTTTAATTCAACCAACAGTAGCCCACTGTCTTTAATTCAACCAATAGTAGCCCACTGTCTTTAATTCAACCAACAGTAGCCCACTGTCTTTAATTCAACCAAGCAACAGTAGCCCACTGTCTTTAATTCAACCAACAGTAGCCCACTGTCTTTAATTCAACCAACAGTAGCCCACTGTCTTTAATTCAACCAAGCAACAGTAGCCCACTGTCTTTAATTCAACCAACAGTAGCCCACTGTCTTTAATTCAACCAACAGTAGCCCACTGTCTTTAATTCAACCAAGCAACAGTAGCCCACTGTCTTTAATTCAACCAAGCAACAGTAGCCCACTGTCTTTAATTCAACCAACAGTAGCCCACTGTCTTTAATTCAACCAACAGTAGCCCACTGTCTTTAATTCAACCAACAGTAGCCCACTGTCTTTAATTCAACCAACAGTAGCCCACTGTCTTTAATTCAACCAACAGTAGCCCACTGTCTTTAATTCAACCAACAGTAGCCCACTGTCTTTAATTCAACCAACAGTAGCCCACTGTCTTTAATTCAACCAACAGTAGCCCACTGTCTTTAATTCAACCAACAGTAGCCCACTGTCTTTAATTCAACCAAGCAACAGTAGCCCACTGTCTTTAATTCAACCAAGCAACAGTAGCCCACTGTCTTTAATTCAACCAACAGTAGCCCACTGTCTTTAATTCAACCAACAGTAGCCCACTGTCTTTAATTCAACCAATAGTAGCCCACTGTCTTTAATTCAACCAACAGTAGCCCACTGTCTTTAATTCAACCAAGCAACAGTAGCCCACTGTCTTTAATTCAACCAACAGTAGCCCACTGTCTTTAATTCAACCAATAGTAGCCCACTGTCTTTAATTCAACCAACAGTAGCCCACTGTCTTTAATTCAACCAAGCAACAGTAGCCTACTGTCTTTAATTCAACCAACAGTAGCCCACTGTCTTTAATTCAACCAACAGTAGCCCACTGTCTTTAATTCAACCAAGCAACAGTAGCCCACTGTCTTTAATTCAACCAACAGTAGCCCACTGTCTTTAATTCAACCAACAGTAGCCCACTGTCTTTAATTCAACCAAGCAACAGTAGCCCACTGTCTTTAATTCAACCAAGCAACAGTAGCCCACTGTCTTTAATTCAACCAACAGTAGCCCACTGTCTTTAATTCAACCAACAGTAGCCCACTGTCTTTAATTCAACCAACAGTAGCCCACTGTCTTTAATTCAACCAAGCAACAGTAGCCCACTGTCTTTAATTCCACCAACAGTAGCCCACTGTCTTTAATTCAACCAACAGTAGCCCACTGTCTTTAATTCAACCAAGCAACAGTAGCCCACTGTCTTTAATTCAACCAACCAACAGTAGCCCACTGTCTTTAATTCAACCAACAGTAGCCCACTGTCTTTAATTCAATATGAATAAATTGGCATCAGAGGGGGTAGATAAGTATATTTGTTCAGTTCACAAATGGTATGTTATGATAAGGCAACAGTAAGCAGTTAACTTAGTTTACCTTAAAGGCTTCTTCAAAATAGTTGTTCTCCTCCAAGAACATGGCGTAGTTTATAATGATCTGGGGTGTGGCAATCCTCAGGTCAATGATCTTATCATAAACAGCTTTACAGGACTGCAGAGATAATAAACAGCTTTAGAGGACTACAGAGAAAATAAACAGCTTTACAGGACTGCCGAGAAAATAAACAGCTTTACAGGACTACAGAGAAAATAAAGAGCTTTCCATGAGATCTAAATATAAGTCACCAAGAAAAAAAAATGTACTTTGAAAGTTCCAAATATAAGTCATCAAGAAAAAAAATGTACTTTGAAAGTTGCAAATATAAGTCATTAAGAAAAAAAAAAGTACTTTGAAAGTTCCAAATATAAGTCATTAAGAAAACAAAAAGTACTTTGAAAGTTACAAATATAAGTCATTAAGAAAAAAAATGTACTTTGAAAGTTCTAAATATAAGTCATCTAGAAAAAAAATGTACTTTGAAAGTTACAAATATAAGTCATTAAGAAAACAAAAAGTACTTTGAAAGTTACAAATATAAGTCATTAAGAAAACAAAAAGTACTTTGAAAGTTACAAATATAAGTCATTAAGAAAAAAAAAATACTTTGAAAGTTCCAAATATAAGTCATTAAGAGAAAAAAATGTACTTTGAAAGTTACAAATATAAGTCATTAAGAAAAAAAATGTACTTTAAAAGTTCCAAATATAAGTCATTAAGAAAAAAAAATGTACTTTGAAAGTTACAAATATAAGTCATTAAGAAAAAAAAAATACTTTGAAAGTTCCAAATATAAGTCATTAAGAAAAAAAATGTACTTTAAAAGTTCTAAATATAAGTCATTAAGAAAAAAAATGTACTTTAAAAGTTCCAAATATAAGTCATTAAGAAAAAAAATGTACTTTGAAAGTTCCAAATATAAGTCATTAAGAAAAAAAAATGTACTTTGAAAGTTCCAAATATAAGTCATTAAGAAAACAAAAAGTACTTTGAAAGTTCCAAATATAAGTCATTAAGAAAAAAAAAATGTACTTTAAAAGTTCTAAATATAAGTCATTAAGAAAAAAAAATGTACTTTGAAAGTTCCAAAACTCTCCTCCAGGTCTGCATAGAGTGACCACACCTTCAAGGACTTGTGGACGCGAGACTGTACCGTTTCCGTCTGGAAATTATTTAGGGCACAATGAGCTCATCAAAAAGACAACAATAGGAAATAAAATTAGCTCAAATATATTAACAATTGGTAATATTTTTACCAACTTAATGCAAGTTAGGCTAGTTCTAAATGGGTCAAACAGAAGAAACAAATTGTAGCATGGGCCAGGCAGATGAGTGAAGTAGATTAGTTAGAATAGGTCAACTGACCACTCAAGCAGTTAGGTAGATTAGGATTTGGGGGTTGGGAAAAGAGTTTGTGATAAAATAGTGTTGGTTAGTCGAGTGTTAGACAGCAGTTGAACATAGATATTGTTAGGACTAGAAGATAGTCGAGTGTTAGACAGCAGTTGAACATAGATATTGTTAGGACTAGAAGATAGTCGAGTGTTAGACAGCAGTTGAACATAGATATTGTTAGGACTAGAAGATAGTCGAGTGTTAGACAGCAGTTGAACATAGATATTGTTAGGACTAGAAGATAGTTGAGTGTTAGACAGCAGTTGAACATAGATATTGTTAGGACTAGAAGATAGTCGAGTGTTAGACAGCAGTTGAACATAGATATTCTGATCTCAAGCAACTATTTCTTGTGTTATTTTTAGACTGACCCAGCAGAAAAATATTCTGGTCTAGCTGTTCTTATCTGAGTACAGCTTGGCTGCCTGGTAGAGCCAGATTGTGGGTTCCCTAGATAATGTACAGTCAGTACATGACACTACTCACCTCATCACAGTACATTTACTGTCAGTACATCTACTCACCTCATCATGGTACATTTACTGTCAGTACATCACACTACTCACCTCATCATGGTACATTTACAGTCAGTACATGACACTACTCACTTCATCATGGTACATTTACTGTCAGTACATCTACTCACCTCATCATGGTACATTTACTGTCAGTACATCACACTACTCACCTCATCATGGTACATTTACAGTCAGTACATGACACTACTCACCTCATCATGGTACATTTACAGTCAGTACATGACACTACTCACCTCATCATGGTACATTTACAGTCAGTACATGACACTACTCACCTCATCATGGTACATAACTTGTCTTTTCATTGGAGTTGTTGCCCTTTGCATGAGTTTCAGAGCTTCCTCACTGTTACTGAAAGAGGAGTCAGACACAAATTTACTGAAAGAGTCAGACACAAATTTACTGAAAGAGTCAGACACAAATTTACTGAAAGAGTCAGACACAAATTTACTGAAAGAGTCAGACACAAATTTACTGAAAGAGTCAGACACAAATTTACTGAAAGAGTCAGACACAAATTTACTGAAAGAGTCAGACACAAATTTACTGAAAGAGTCAGACACAAATTTACTGAAAGAGTCAGACACAAATTTACTGAAAGAGTCAGACACAAATTTACTGAAAGAGTCAGACACAAATTTACTGAAAGAGTCAGACACAAATTTACTGAAAGAGTCAGACACAAATTTACTGAAAGAGTCAGACACAAATTTACTGAAAGAGTCAGACACAAATTTACTGAAAGAGTCAGACACAAATTTACTGAAAGAGTCAGACACAAATTTACTGAAAGAGTCAGACACAAATTTACTGAAAGAGTCAGACACAAATTTACTGAAAGAGTCAGACACAAATTTACTGAAAGAGTTAGACACAAATTTACTGAAAGAGTCAGACACAAATTTACTGAAAGAGTTAGACACAAATTTAAGAAAAAATTAAATTGTAAACTGGTCAAAAAAAAAAACATTGTCTAGTTTAAATCCATGCATCTACAATTAGCTAGCAATGATTGTAAAGAGACCTACTCATGTCTGAACTTAAATCCAGGCATCTACAATTAGCTAGCAATGATTGTAAAGAGACCTACTCATGTCTGAGCTCCATCTCGGCCCACTCACACCAGACACAGGCCAGGTCGTCCACATGTTTGTAGGGCACTTGGGTGGCTTTTTCAAACACAATACGGGCCTGGTCACATGATCAAAACATCAGCTTACAGTAGCCATGAATACATAAAGCACAACACAGACATAAAGCACAACACAGATATAAAGCACAACACAGACATAAAGCACACCACAGACATAAAGCACACCACAGACATAAAGCACACCACAGACATAAAGCACACCACAGACATAAAGCACACCACAGACATAAAGCACACCACAGACATAAAGCACAACACAGACATAAAGCACACCACAGACATAAAGCACAACATAGGCATAAAGCACAACACAGACATAAAGCACAACAGACATAAAGCACAACAGACATAAAGCACAACACAGACATAAAGCACAACATAGGCATAAAGCACAACATAGGCATAAAGCACAACAGACATAAAGCACAACACAGGCATAAAGCACAACACAGACATAAAGCACAACACAGACATAAAGCACAACACAGACATAAAGCACAACACAGACATAAAGCACAACACAGACATAAAGCACAACACAGATATAAAGCACAACACAGACATAAAGCACAACACAGACATAAAGCACAACACAGACATAAAGCACAACACAGACATAAAACAACACAGATATAAAGCACAACACAAACATAAAGCACAACACAGACATAAAGCACAACACAGACATAAAGCACAACACAGATATAAAGCACAACACAGACATAAAGCACAACACAGACATAAAGCACAACACAGACATAAAGCACAACACAGATATAAAGCAACACAGATATAAAGCACGACACAGACATAAAGCACAACACAGATATAAAGCACAACACAGACATAAAGCACAACACAGATATAAAGCACACCACAGACATAAAGCACAACACAAACATAAAGCACAACACAGACATAAAGCACAACACAGATATAAAGCACAACACAGACATAAAGCACAACACAAAACTGACCACAAACATTAAGCACAACACAATACATAAAGCACAATAAAGACAGATATTTCTAACTTACATCTTGAATTTGGTCATTTTTTTCGTAAAACTTTGCAAATTCCACCCAAAGAGAATGTGGTCTCCCAGATGCTATTTTTGGATCCACTGTGTGAACAGCTTCAGTGTATGTGTTAATTATCTGCAGAAATACATAGTTATAGTTTTAGTGTATGTGTTGATTATCTGCAGAAATACATAGTTATAGGTGTAGTGTATGTGTTAATTATCTGCAGAAATAAATAGTTATAGTTTTAGTGTATGTGTTAATTATCTGCAAAAATACATAGTTATAGTTTTAGTGTATGTGTTGATTATCTGCAGAAATACAGTTATAGTTTTAGTGTATGTGTTGATTATCTGAAGAAATACATAGTTATAGCTTTAGTGTATGTGTTGATTATCTGAAGAAATACATAGTTATAGCTTTAGTGTATGTATTGATTATCTGCAGAAATACATAGTTATAGTTTTAGTGTATGTGTTGATTATCTGAAGAAATACATAGTTATAGCTTTAGTGTATGTGTTGATTATCTGCAGAAATACATAGTTATTGCTTTAGTGTATGTGTTGATTATCTGCAGAAATACATAGTTATAGTTTTAGTGTATGTGTTAATTATCTGTAGAAATACATAGTTATAGTTTTAGTGTATGTGTTGATTATTTGAGGAAATACATAGTTATAGTTGTAGTGTATGTGATGATTATATGAAGAAATACATAGTTATAGCTGTAGTGTATGTGTTAAATACAGTTATAGTTTAGTGTATGTGTTAAATACAGTTATAGTTTAGTGTATGTGTTAAATACAGTTATAGTTTAGTGTAGCTGTTAAATACAGTTATAGTTTAGTGTATGTGTTAAATACAGTTATAGTTTAGTGTATGTGTTAAATACAGTTATAGTTTAGTGTAGCTGTTAAATACAGTTATAGTTTAGTGTATGTGTTAAATACAGTTATAGTTTAGTGTAGCTGTTAAATACAGTTATAGTTTAGTGTATGTGTTAAATACAGTTATAGTTTAGTGTATGTGTTAAATACAGTTATAGTTTAGTGTAGCTGTTAAATACAGTTATAGTTTAGTGTATGTGTTAAATACAGTTATAGTTTAGTGTAGCTGTTAAATACAGTTATAGTTTAGTGTATGTGTTAAATACAGTTATAGTTTAGTGTATGTGTTAAATACAGTTATAGTTTAGTGTATGTGTTAAATACAGTTATAGTTTAGTGTATGTGTTAAATACAGTTATACTTTAGTGTAGCTGTTGAATAATACAGTTATAGTTTAGTGTAGCTGTAGTGTATGTGTTAAATACAGTTATAGTTTAGTGTAGCTGTTGACTTAGAAGATAAACAGAGTTCTAGAAACAAAGCCATGATAGAGTAAAAATGGTGAGTAAACTGGCTTACCTCTCTTGGATTAAATGGTGAGTAAACTGGCTTAGCTCTCTTGGATTAAATGGTGAGTAAACTGGCTTACCTCTCTTGGATTAAATGGTGAGTAAACTGGCTTACCTCTCTTGGTTTAAATGGTGAGTAAACTGGCTTACCTCTCTTGGATTAAATGGTGAGTAAACTGGCTTACCTCTCTTGGATTAAATGGTGAGTAAACTGGCTTACCTCTCTTGGATTAAATGGTGAGTAAACTGGCTTACCTCTCTTGGATTCCCTTCAAATAATGTAACTCTCTTATGCCATTCATGAACATTGTGGGGATTTTGACGAAGTAGTACACTGAATATTGTAAATAAATGTTATAATGTAAGACATTGTACAACAAGAAGTAGTACACTGAATAAATGTCATAATGTAAGACATTGTACAACAAGAAGTAGTACACTGAATATTGTAAATAAATGTTATAATGTAAGACATTGTACAACAAGAAGTAGTACACTGAATAAATGTTATAATGTAAGACATTGTACAACAAGAAGTAGTACACTGAATATTGTAAATAAATGTTAAAATGTAAGACATTGTACAACAAGATGTAGTACACTGAATATTGTAAATATATGTTATAATGTAAGACATTGTACAACAAGAAGTAGTACACTGAATATTGTAAATAAATGTTATAAAGTAAGACATTGTACAACAAGATGCAGTACACTGAATAAATGTTATAATGTAAGACATTGTACAACAAGAAGTAGTACACTGAATATTGTAAATAAATGTTATAATGTAAGACATTGTACAACAAGAAGTAGTAGACTGAATAAATGTTATAATGTAAGACATTGTACAACAAGAAGTAGTACACTGAATATTGTAAATAAATGTTATAATGTAAGACATTGTACAACAAGAATCCACAGCTACAAAGACAGTGTCACACAATTGAATTTAAGTGACAGTGTCAAGTGTCAGTGTCAAGTGACAGTGTCAAGTGTCAAGGTCAAGTGACAGAGTCAAGTGACACTTCTTGTACACATTGAAGAATACAGCATTTACTAGTGTAGACCAGAATTTAAACTGAACAGCTGTGTATCAGAAGTGGACAAAATTTTTTTTTTCTATTTACCTGTTGAGTAGTAGGGGTCTACGATCAACCAAACTTTCAAGCCTTGCAAGACGAATTTCTAATTCAAAATCATCTAGAATCAAAGCCAAAGTTAGAATTGAACATAAAACCAAAAATTGTTTCAAACAATAGCTGTTATCTGGTCAGCCAAGTTTGAACATTTTTTTAAAAAACTAGTAGAGACTAGAGATGTATTTAAACCTTCTTCATTGGCTCCTTCTTCCTCCATTGTCTCCATCTTTGCTGCTATCATACTTTTCTCAAACTGGGCACAGGCATCAAACACTTGGGTAAAGTCTCTCACAGTCATCACTGTTTGGATGGCTTCTTCATAGATGTCACGAGCCTTAAGGACAGAACAAATTTCATACATGTCACGGACAGTAGTGGGAGGGGAGTGGTGGGAGGGGAGTGGTGGGAGGGGAGAGTGGTGGGAGGGGAGTGGTGGGAGGGGAGTGGTGGGAGGGGAGTGGTGGGAGGGGAGTGGTGGGAGGAGAGAGTGGTGGGAGGGGAGTGGTGGGAGGGGAGAGTGGTGGGAGGGGAGAGTGGTGGGAGGGGAGAGTTGTGGGAGGGGAGAGTGGTGGGAGGGGAGTGGTGGGAGGGGAGTGGTGGGAGGGGAGAGTGGTGGGAGGGGAGTGGTGGGAGGGGAGTGGTGGGAGGGGAGTGGTGGGAGGAGAGAGTGGTGGGAGGGGAGTGGTGGGAGGGGAGTGGTGGGAGGGGAGTGGTGGGAGGAGAGAGTGGTGGGAGGGGAGTGGTGGGAGGGGAGAGTGGTGGGAGGGGAGAGTGGTGGGAGGGGAGTGGTGGGATGGGAGTGGTGGGAGTGGTGGGAGGGGAGAGTGGTGGGAGGGGAGAGTGGTGGGAGGGGAGAGTTGTGGGAGGGGAGAGTGGTGGGAGGGGAGTGGTGGGAGGGGAGAGTGGTGGGAGGGGAGTGGTGGAAGGGGAGTGGTGGGAGGAGAGAGTGGTGGGAGGGGAGAGTGGTGGGAGGAGAGAGTGGTGGGAGGGGAGTGGTGGGAGGGGAGTGGTGGGAGGGGAGTGGTGGGAGGGGAGTGGTGGGAGGGGAGTGGTGGGAGGGGAGTGGTGGGAGGAGAGTGGTGGGAGGAGAGTGGTGGGAGGAGAGTGGTGGGAGGGGAGTGGTGGGAGGAGAGAGTGGTGGGAGGAGAGAGTGGTGGGAGGGGAGTGGTGGGAGGGGAGTGGTGGGAGGGGAGTGGTGGGAGGGGAGAGTGGTGGGAGGAGAGTGGTGGGAGGGGAGTGGTGGGAGGGGAGAGTGGTGGGAGGAGAGTGGTGGGAGGGGAGAGTGGTGGGAGGGGAGAGTGGTGGGAGGGGAGTGGTGGGAGGGGAGTGGTGGGAGGGGAGTGGTGGGAGGGGAGAGTGGTGGGAGGGGAGAGTGGTGGGAGGGGAGAGTGGTGGGAGGGGAGAGTGGTGGGAGGGGAGTGGTGGGATGGGAGTGGTGGGAGGGGAGAGTGGTGGGAGGGGAGTGGTGGGAGGGGAGAGTTGTGGGAGGGGAGAGTGGTGGGAGGGGAGTGGTGGAAGGGGAGAGTGGTGGGAGGGGAGTGGTGGAAGGGGAGTGGTGGGAGGGGAGTGGTGGGAGGGGAGAGTGGTGGGAGGGGAGTGGTGGAAGGGGAGAGTGGTGGGAGGGGAGTGGTGGAAGGGGAGTGGTGGGAGGGGGGAGTGGTGGGAGGGGAGAGTGGTGGGAGGGGAGAGTTGTGGGAGGGGAGAGTTGTGGGAGGGGAGAGTGGTGGGAGGGGAGAGTTGTGGGAGGGGAGAGTGGTGGGAGGGGAGTGGTGGAAGGGGAGAGTGGTGGGAGGGGAGTGGTGGAAGGGGAGTGGTGGGAGGGGAGTGGTGGGAGGGGAGAGTGGTGGGAGGGGAGTGGTGGGAGGGGAGAGTGGTGGGAGGGGAGTGGTGGGAGGGGAGTGGTGGAAGGGGAGTGGTGGGAGGAGAGAGTGGTGGGAGGGGAGTGGTGGGAGGGGAGTGGTGGGAGGGGGGGAGTGGTGGGAGGGGAGAGTGGTGGGAGGGGAGAGTGGTGGGAGGGGAGAGTGGTGGGAGGGGAGTGGTGGGAGGGGAGTGGTGGGAGGGGAGAGTGGTGGGAGGGGGGGAGTGGTGGGAGGGGAGAGTGGTGGGAGGGGAGTGGTGGGAGGGGGGGGAGTGGTGGGAGGGGAGAGTGGTGGGAGGGGAGAGTGGTGGGAGGGGAGAGTGGTGGGAGGGGAGTGGTGGGAGGGGAGAGTGGTGGGAGGGGAGTGGTGGGAGGGGAGAGTGGTGGGAGGGGGGGAGTGGTGGGAGGTGAGAGTGGTGGGAGGGGGAGAGTGGTGGGAGGGGAGAGTGGTGGGAGGGGAGTGGTGGGAGGGGAGTGGTGGGAGGGGAAAGTGGTGGGAGGGGAGAGTGGTGGGAGGGGAGAGTGGTGGGAGGGGAGTGGTGGGAGGAGAGTGGTGGGAGGGGAGAGTGGTGGGAGGGGAGTGGTGGGAGGGGAGTGGTGGGAGGGGAGAGTGGTGGGAGGGGAGAGTGGTGGGAGGGGAGTGGTGGGAGGGGAGAGTGGTGGGAGGGGAGAGTGGTGGGAGGGGAGAGTGGTGGGAGGGGAGTGGTGGGAGGGGAGTGGTGGGAGGGGAAAGTGGTGGGAGGGGAGAGTGGTGGGAGGGGAGAGTGGTGGGAGGGGAGTGGTGGGAGGGGAGAGTGGTGGGAGGGGAGTGGTGGGAGGAGAGTGGTGGGAGGGGAGAGTGGTGGGAGGGGAGTGGTGGGAGGGGAGTGGTGGGAGGGGAGTGGTGGGAGGAGAGTGGTGGGAGGGGAGTGGTGGGAGGGTAGTGGTGGGAGGGGAGTGGTGGGAGGAGAGTGGTGGGAGGGGAGTGGTGGGAGGGGAGTGGTGGGAGGAGAGTGGTGGGAAGGGAGTGGTGGGAGATGAGAGTGGTGGGAGGGGAGTGGTGGGAGGGGAGTGGTGGGAGGGGAGTGGTGGGAGGGGAGTGGTGGGAGATAGTGGTGGGAGGGGAGTGGTGGGAGGAGAGAGTGGTGGGAGGGGAGTGGTGGGAGGAGAGAGTGGTGGGAGGGGAGTGGTGGGAGGAGAGAGTGGTGGGAGGGGAGTGGTGGGAGGGGAGTGGTGGGAAGGGAGTGGTGGGAGGGGAGAGTGGTGGGAGGGGAGAGTGGTGGGAGGGGAGAGTGGTGGGAGGGGACAGTGGTGGGAGGGGAGTGTGGTGGGAATAGAGTGGTGGGAGGGGAGAGTGGTGGGAGGGGAGTGGTGGGAGGGGAGTGGTGGGAGGGGAGTGGTGGGAGGGGAGTGGTGGGAGGGGAGTGGTGGGAAGGGAGTGGTGGGAGGGGAGAGTGGTGGGAGGGGAGTGGTGGGAGGGGAGTGGTGGGAGGGGAGTGGTGGGAGGGGAGTGGTGGGAGATAGTGGTGGTGGGAGGGGAGAGTGGTGGGAGGGGAGTGGTGGGAGATAGTGGTGGGAGGGGAGTGGTGGGAGGAGAGAGTGGTGGGAGGGGAGTGGTGGGAGGAGAGAGTGGTGGGAGGGGAGAGTGGTGGGAGGGGAGTGGTGGGAGGAGAGTGGTGGGAGGGGAGTGGTGGGAGGGGAGTGGTGGGAGATAGTGGTGGTGGGAGGGGAGAGTGGTGGGAGGGGAGTGGTGGGAGATAGTGGTGGGAGGAGAGTGGTGGGAGGGGAGTGGTGGGAGGAGAGTGGTGGGAGGGGAGTGGTGGGAGGAGAGTGGTGGGAGGGGAGTGGTGGGAGGAGAGTGGTGGGAGGAGAGTGGTGGGAGGGGAGTGGTGGGAGGAGAGTGGTGGGAGGGGAGTGGTGGGAGGAGAGTGGTGGGAGGGGAGTGGTGGGAGGGGAGTGGTGGGAGGGGAGTGGTGGGAGGGGAGTGGTGGGAGGGGAGTGGTGGGAGATAGTGGTGGTGGGAGGGGAGAGTGGTGGGAGGGGAGAGTGGTGGGAGGGGAGTGGTGGGAGGGGAGTGGTGGGAGGAGAGAGTGGTGGGAGGGGAGTGGTGGGAGGGGAGTGGTGGGAGGGGAGTGGTGGGAGGAGAGAGTGGTGGGAGGGGAGTGGTGGGAGGGGAGTGGTGGGAGGGGAGTGGTGGGAGGGGAGTGGTGGGAGGGGAGTGGTGGGAGGGGAGTGGTGGGAGGAGAGAGTGGTGGGAGGGGAGTGGTGGGAGGAGAGAGTGGTGGGAGTGGAGTGGTGGGAGGCTCTAACATCAATTTAGAAAAGCTTGGTGGTGCGATGTTAACGAAGAAAACAGAAATTTTCTTTGACCGGGCCTAAAGCTATTTTAGTGATTGCTATAGTGTGTTTTGTCGAGCTCGGCCTTTTTTGACCATGCTCAGAAATGATAAACAATTTTAGTGTTTTAACAGAAAAAAGGACCACCTTGTTTGAATTCATTTATTTTTTGAACATTTTGCACATCATACAGATATTTGTAAAGCAGCCCCCGGGTTGAATGACCAGGGGGTCCATTACTCGACTGCCGTTGAAAAATCATCTCAGTGATAGTTTTCAATGAATAAATGAGATATATTGTGTTATATCGACAACTATAAAATTACGCATAATTCGAGGGCTTACATACGTTTGACATACCTAATTAAAGGTAAGTAAATGTAGTTTTTAATTGTTTAAGTGATCGTGAACAATAATGAAGTTTAAAATCTTAGGCGACACCCTACCCTAATGTGGGGAGGGATGATGTTGGGACTCCCCCAATGTGGGGTGATGTAATGTGGGGAGGGATGATGTTGGGATTACCCTTATGTGGGGTGGTTGTAAGAAACTATGACTTACTCTTTCAAAATGTCCTCCCCTAATGTAGTAGTCAGCCAAGGAGTTCCACAATACACCAATTTGATCTGTATACCTTTTGAGGCCTTGACGAATGATGGGCTCCACCTTCAAAGATGTCACTTTGTCTGGGTTCTTGGCAATCAGTTCACAAAGCTGATTCCATAGCTACAACAAATAAAGCGGGAGTGATCTCCCCTAAACTCTCTCATATACCACAGTTTTTAAATAAAATCACATAGAAAAAAAATATTGCACACAAAATTAACATAAACAATGTGCATATAATAGACCGGAAAATTAGTGTTGTATAAAAGAAACAATCAATTTTTAAAGACTTAAAAAAACATATAATTTAGCCAAAAAAGTATGTCACAATACATTGTCATCAAGTCTAGACCTACGTGAAGAAATCGGTCCTGTAGAAGAAATCTTTTTTTCAGAAATTGGAAATAGTGTAGTAAAGTGATATTTCCATTGACTGAGCCTAGAGTTACATGATTTTACTTTAGTGGAGACCTTGACCCTTGAGTTTGCTGATCTTTATTTTACCTGGTGTTTGGATTTCCCCTCAACAGACACAAATCCTTCATCGTTAATAATGTCAGCCAACCGTTGTGCTGCTTCATCCAGCCACCCAATAGACATCAAGAATCCAATGTATTCTTCTGAGCCTTCTTTTTGCAGCTGAAATGTGTTATTAAGATTTGACTTCAACCACAAGGTTCATTTCAATTCAAACATTTATGTTTAGAAATATCTGCACTCATTGATATATAATATAAATCAAAATTTTACTCCAATTACTAATTCTATCATGAATTTCTGGAGTATGTAATTCCTTCATAATTGGACTCAGCCTAGGAATGTGTCATGAACATACCCACCCTTACATCAGCCTAGGAATGTGTCATGAACATACCCACCTTTACATCAGCCTAGGAATGTGTCATGAACATACCCACCCTTACATCAGCCTAGGAATGTGTCATGAACATACCCACCTTTACATCAGACTAGGAATGTGTCATGAACATACCCACCTTTACATGATCTACCGGGTCTACAATTAATTCCCGAAAGACACCTGAATGCTGTTTGCCAAAGGCAGATTTTTTTAATGGACACTTACCCGAATGGACACTTGCCCGAATGCGACAAATGCCCGAATGGACCCTTGCCCGAATGCGACAAATGCCCGAATGGGACAAATGCCCGAATGGACACTTTTGATAATATACACAATTCTAAGCATAAAAACAAAGTTGTTGGTATTTTTAAAATTTAGCTTTTATTTTTTTTAAACTGAGAAATTGCCGGAAAAAAAATCTTTATTCTTTAATAAATGTAAGGTGATGTTGGCGGCGGTGTCTTTATATTCTCTTGATGAATGTTAGATAAATTAGGCTAAAGCTAGACTAAATCACGCATGGGAGGTAAAAAAACAAAACAGGCTTCAGAGTTGTACATTTGATTTTAAAGAGTGGCAATAGATTACTATTTTCTGTATTTTGGATAAATTTTCACTGAAAATATCAGCCGAAAATTCTGACTTTAAATTTGTGTTCTGAAAAATTCAGAAATCAACCAAAATTCTGGATCTTGACCTACATTTAATCTTAAACTTAATCTGACACCGCCAGACCTAGCGCAATTGTCCAATTAAAAAGATTGCACACTGATAGAAGAAGAGCTGAAGAGAAAGTAAAAATATATCACCAAGAAAATCATTACTATGTAACTGGCGCTAGAACATTTCTCTAAATTAAAAATGTCCACACGACTCACAAATACAATAGTCCACTTTTTTAAAAAAAACAATGAAACAGTTTGTTTAAAAATAACATAATACATTTTAGCAATTCTTTTTACAAGCGTCCTATTAGTGAGATGCTAGTAGGATTTGGGTAAAAGAAAGAGTTTTACCTTTAAATATCTCCTGTAGACTCTAACCGCTGTTTCTGGTAGGTCATGTGAGCGAACAAACTTTAAATAAAGTGGCCATACGCGATTGTGTTGAGTGATGGGAAGTGCCCGCAATGCTCTGTCAAAACACCTTCGGGTTCTGGTAACTCGGCCTTGACCAATCAAAAAATGTAGGTAATCCAACCAAATCCTTGGCATCTGAAACATTCAAGTCAACATCCCAGTTACACAAGAAGACATTCAACATCCGAGTTACACAAGAAGACATTCAACATCCAAGTTACACAAGAAGACATTCAACATCCGAGTTACACAAGAAGACATTCAACATCCTAGTTACACAAGAAGACATTCAACATCCGAGTTACACAAGAAGCCATTCAACATCCAAGTTACACAAGAAGACATTCAACATCCGAGTTACACAAGAAGACATTCAACATCCTAGTTACACAAGAAGACATTCAACAAGACATTCAACATCCAAGTTACACAAGAAGACATTCAACATCCAAGTTACACAAGAAGACACTCAACATCCAAGTTACACAAGAAGACATTCAACATCCAAGTTACACAAGAAGACATTCAACATCCAAGTTACACAAGAAGACATTCAACATCCAAGTTACACAAGAAGACATTCAACATCAAAGTTACACAAGAAGACACTCAACATCCAAGTTACACAAGAAGACACTCAACATCCAAGTTACACAAGAAGACATTCAACATCCTAGTTACACAAGAAGACATTCAACATCCGAGTTACACAAGAAGACATTCAACATCCAAGTTACACAAGAAGACACTCAACTTCCAAGTAACACAAGAAGACATTCAACATCCAAGTTACACAAGAAGACATTCAACATCCAAGTTACACAAGAAGACACTCAAAATCCAAGTTACACAAGAAGACATTCAACATCCGAGTTACACAAGAAGACAGTCAACATCCAAGTTACACAAGAAGACATTCAACATCCGAGTTACACAAGAAGACATTCAACATCCAAGTTACACAAGAAGACATTCAACATCCAAGTTACACTAGAAGACATTCAACATCCAAGTTATACAAGAAGACATTCAACATCCAAGTTACACAAGAAGACATTCAATATCCAAGTTACAAAAGAAGACATTCAACATCCAAGTTACACAAGAAGACATTCAACATCCAAGTTACACTAGAAGACATTCAACATCCGAGTTACACAAGAAGACATTCAACATCCAAGTTACACAAGAAGACATTCAACATCCAAGTTACACAAGAAGACATTCAACATCCGAGTTACACAAGAAGACATTCAACATCCAATATACACTTAAAGACATTTTAAAAAAGGGGTTGCCACTCCAAAAGTTTGGGACATGTGACTGAACAAATCTAAGTCACGACTTAACCTATTCAAGTCAACATCCACGACAAGACTAACATACTGAAGAAAACACTGAAAACTGGTCATCCGATAAAAAACGGGAAAGCAACATACAAAGTTTCTAAGAAATTTTATTTTACCTTATGCATGAAAACCAATGACCTTTCAAAGGCACTGTTAACTTCTTCATATTTTGGGTCTGTTACAACTTTACCACGCGCCTGTGTGCGCAACAGTTTCAGGTAATTGTACCAGAGTTTGTAACTGATAAAAATAAAAACAACTTAGAATCAATTACATGTTGGCTGCTATTGATTAGACTTTTGCAAAATGTCGTAATAGAAGCCACATTGCCTTAACATTAGAATACTACAATCTAAATTACTTTATTATATATTTAATTAAAAACATTTGTGATTAGAAAGAATAGAATGAGGCAAATTATGAATACTAAGTGAAGTGCAGATAAAATATAGAGAAAATGATTGATCTAATGAAGGCAAATACCCACCTCCCTGGCAGCTGTTTCAGTGCCCTTTCATAGACTGTGTTGAGAACTTCCTTTTTAGCACTTTTTTTATGGTCTATGTAGCGCAGCCAACACTTAACATTGTAAGGATTGCGTAAAATATCTTCCTCATAAGGAAGATCTTCTTCTTCCTATTCAAGTCATGAAAAAAATGCCATTATTTCACTGAACACAGTATAAACTGTTAATGGCTACTGCTAGCAGGGATATAGTGATCAGATTTTTTTGCAAGAGTAAACAAACATCAGGAGAATAATTATGATGTTTATCAGCAAGTATTGTTGTTAATTTGGTTAATTTCAATTACTTATATTATTATCTATGGTCTTGATTGGTATACATTTATGTTTATTAAGATCTAATAGGCCTGATAAATAATATCTTAGTTTAACTTAACCTACAACTAGGCTTACATTTCTAATAAATAGATGGCCAAGTTAACCAAGTATTAGGGCAAGCTCATGCAGTGCTTGTGGTAGGGCCCCATCGTGTTTTTTTTGTTAGAGTTCAGGGGAAACAACTCTAATTTTAAGATGGCTGACGTTTACCCCCCCCCCCCCCCCTACCCCCCCCCCCCCGAACGAGATGGATTTTATATAGTAAACATACACTTTTACTAGTGTCTGCCCTCCTGAAAATGTTGACCCCCCTGAAAATGTTGTAGGAGAAAAAATTCTGGAAGAAACACTTGTTGTTTATATAGCAAATCTTGCTATCAAATACTGCTGATTACCTAAAAGTATAGTTTTTGTTTATGCCCCATCTTGCTTTCCAAGATACATCCAGACTTTTTCAAGCATACTTGTAGAAGTTCTCAATTTTTGAAAATATAAATTCTCGCCACGGAATCGAAGAATAAAATGATACAAGCTCTCCATCCTGTACTTATACCAATTGTAATTTTAACAGACGAAAATGATGCTCATGTAAAAAAAAAATTGTTTAACTAGATCTAGGCCTAGCTAAAAAAAACAAAAAAAACCACTTAAAATGCCAGTAAACAGATTATAGCACCAAAAAAAAAAAAGCCGTTGAACGAGCATTGTTTAAAATCCGCAGCAATGACAAAGGCTAACGGCCGGTCAATATAGTCTAAAAATCGTCCGTAATTAGGCCTAGCTCTACGCCCGTAACTAGGCCTTGCTCTAAAAAAGGCCACCGAACGAGCATCGTTAGAAATACTATACAACATTTCATATAAATTATATAGACGAATAGGCCATGCAGCATTGACGAGGTTAACCACCGGTTACGAATTAAATTCAATGCAGCTACTGTCTGCCCACAGTGAAGAAAAAAATCAATATACTAATAAAATTACTAATACAATAATAATGTCTATAATACTAGACTTTACAGTTCATTCCGCAAAAAACAAAACCTAGTTGTTTCTGACAGGCAACTAGCGTAACAATGACGCAATGATACTAAAAATAGCTGATAGAAATGTCCGCGTGGGTATCTCATTTTGGAGTCATATTTTGGAAACCAGAATCAATTATACTGTAAATATACATGGTAAATATCTCTATTATATATTAATCTAGAGTTAGAAAGGCTGTTTTCCCTGTTAGACGGTAGTTTTTGGCGGCGGTTCAGTTTTTACGGAGAGTGCTACACTAGAAATCCTCTCATTATTTACAACCACAAATCTCGCTATTTTTTGTGGCAGTATAAGGCATATTATCTATTATCTCGCATTAAAATTATGAGAATTTGAAAGATTAACAGTTTTTTCCTTTGTCATGGATGGGACCCCTAAAATAAATGTAAATACTGCAAAAAACGACATGTGATGTTTCAGGGTCAGAGGTCATTTCAGACATCTCAGCAACGAGCCGGACTACTAAATATTTAATAACTAGCATTCTCATTCTTATTACTTACACCATGAAAATAAAACTTTGAAACATTTTAGTAACTTTTTAAAAACATAAATTCTCCTAAAAATGTGAAATAATTTGTTTTCACATTACTAGTCTTGTCCGATTTTAGTATTTTACGCACCTAAAACGACAGATTGATTTCCCAAATCTAAAATAATTAGGTAATCTATTGTTTTAAGTACGTAAAATCGCCCGCGACTAGTAATGTGAAAAACAGGTGACTCCTTAAATTTGAATAATTATTTCACATTTTGAGGAGGATTTATGTTTTGAAAAATAAAAAAATGTTTCGCTTGTTTCATTTATGTACCTGTTTTTAAACAATTTAATTAAAACTTTTCAGTAATAGATGAAGACTAGCGATGTTTCCAACAGATGCAACCATGCCCATTTACTATAGCAGCCATCTTGTTAAAGTTTTTTTTTTTTTAAACTTATAGCGCGAGATTCAGGGAAAGCCACTCTTATTTTACAAATGGATCCTGTTTATATAGTAATCTTGCTCGCAAACACTGCTGTTTAAAGTTAATTTCTAGCCTATATTGATATATTTAGCCATTGATTTAAGTTTATTATTCATTTATCTATAATATTTGACACAAATATATCACAATATACTTCTATTAAAGCCTTGACAATGAGGTAATTTTTTCGTACATTTACTAGCCGCGATTTTACATACCTAAAACGATAGATTAGTTAGGCCTACAAGCCTACAACAATAATTAATAATTAGTAGGCCTAGGGTTAGGGTTAATTAGTAATTAGACATAATAATTAAATGGCCGATGGTCGCCGGAATAAGATACGCATGCGCAATGGAGAGAAACAATGACTGCGTGTGTTAACAACCGCAGAAGCCTAGCCCTAACCCTAACCATAACCCTATCTCTAACCATAACCCTAGCCATAGGTCACTGCGCATGCGCAGAACTATCTTTTGCCGACTAGGTGGAGACGTTGGGGCGAAAAAAAAATTTCCGAGTAGCTTTTACTTTTAGTCACTTCGTAGATCTAATTATTCATTATAAATACTTCTGTAATTACTCTAAAAAAGAAATAGATCAAGAATCTTGATCTATTTAATATTAAGGCATATTATTTTAAAATGTAGAGAAGATCTTAAAGTTTAAGATATAAACTCACAAAAAATAGATCTGAAAGCATTTTCCCCTTAGCCTGGACGAAACCAAACATTTATTTAACAGGAAAATTAAGCAGAATAGAAAGTTGCCAGATTAATTCTTAATAAAACTTTTTAAAATAATAATAATGAAACATAATTCTTAAACAGTAAGAACTGTGGCGTTTTAATAAAGACAAATAAAACAACAAAAAAGCATTTAGGATGTGGAATAAAGAAATAATATTTACAGAAATATATGCCTATTCATTAATTTGATTATCATATGAAAGTTAATTAATGACGATAATGAAAACAGATTTTATATTGAATTGTTGTATTCATAGTAAATTATCAACCCAAATATATATATATATATATATATATATATATATATATATATATATATATATATATATATATATATATATATATAAACACGATAACTTGAGTACCGTTACAGCTAGGTTGATGAAATTTCATATATAAGTATTTTATCAAAATCGTAGATACGTATCAACTTTTGAGCGATTTCCGATAACCGGAAGTGGTACTTTTTCTACTTTGAATATTTCAAAAGCCTATAACTTGAGTACTATTTCAGATAGATAAATGAAATTTCACATGTAAGTAAAAGATCTAATTCTCTACCTTCTGTCAAATTTTGAGTAATTTCCGTTCACCGGAAGTACTAATCTACGCTATTTCCGATTTCTCAAAAAACGCACATAAATTTATAAAGTACTAATAATATCCCGCACTATTATGCACATTTTATTAGGCGTTCACTTGGTGTGCAATTCTTTTTTTTACGAGATTCCATTCTATTATGAAAAGTTTAAGTAATTAAAAATGAATTACAAATATTGTCTATGTCCTGAGTTGCCATCCCTCATAGTTTTATATTAGAATATTCGAGAAAGTTTAGGGGAGATCACTCCCGGTTTATTTTTTTTGCGTTAGTGTTTGTGTTTTCTTTGTGTTTGTGGTTGGGTTTGTCTTTGCGTTTGATTTTTTCGTTTGTGTTTGTATTTGTTTTTGTGTTATGTTTGCGCTTTTTGTGTTTTGGTTGGTTGTAGTTAGGGTGGGCAATGCCGGGTATGTGCTGATTACTAAACACAGAAGTCATGGTCCTTTGCAGATAGTTTTTCAGAGATGCCAGTGCAGGGCCTGGCCGGGACGGCTAGTATATATATATATATATATATATATATATATATATATATATATATATATATATATATATATATATATATATATATATATATATATATATATATGTATGTATGTATGTATCCGATGAATACGATCCAAGCGCAGGCATTGTTTACAATGAAATAACTCAGTTTTTGAAAAAAAAAAAGGTCGCACATCTAAGAATATAGGATTGGTAACGCGTTGATGAAACCCTCCTAATATATTGTATCCGACTTTCTTCTAACCCCTCGGGGACGGGCATGATAGTTATAATATAGAATACTGCTTCATAGTGTAAGAGATCATTGGATGATTGCACATTGGAAATCTAGGCACAAAACCTAAGCGGTAAGATGAGAAGGGCCATATGTTGCCCACGTATCAGACTCTTTCTCTACAAATAAGGACCCAATCAATGGACAGGAGGTTGCCTATACCAATTAAAATTTGCAGTGTTGAAGGAGCTGCTTAAAGGAAACCAGAGTTGGCAATCCTATCGCACAAGGGGCTCAACTGCTGTCTAATATTGGAGGTTTCACCTAGATGGGTTGTTGTCTCCACCTGATGAGCCTCATATGTGCCCGAGGGTTCAGACTCGGAACTTTCGGGTCAGCAACTCCAATCATATACAAATATATTGACCATATGTTTATTTATTATTTATTTGTTAATAAATTATATAGACCTAGATTAAATGGAAGTGTTTATAAGTCAACATTGAAGAAATCAGTTACTAGATCTACATGCAGTGCTAATATGTTATTTTGATTTTTTAAAACTTCTTTTTACTGATATCAGCACCAATATGTTATTTTAAAATATTTTTTTAAATACTTTTATTTGCAATTTAAAACAAGTACATCAACATCGAATTCTTTACTTAATTTCGAACATCAAATCTATACATATATATTTATCTAATATATAAAGTTCAATTCTGTATGTATGTTTGTAAAATGTTTGACGTGGATTACAAGAAAAAACAATAGTTCTATGGTTTCAAGTGTTAGATGTCTAAAGTGCTCATGGTCTAAATTTATGAGTTAAAAAATTAATATTGTAAATGTTTTAAAACAATTTTTATTTTGCGTACTTAAAATAATAAGTTTCAATATGAACATTACATAATTTTTTTAAATGTATCGTTTATAAAATTTCAAATTGTGTCTGAAAATTATTTGCATTTTGTCCTTGATTAGGAAAACACAGCTACTTCCCTTTAAATAAACATTACATCGGGGAGGGGAGAATTTACTTTTTATTACTTTTTTTGGTGTTAGGAAAAATAATTACATAATTAGCGGAAATTGTTTTCGTGCTATGATGTTGGTATTTTTAATACTGCCGTTTATTTACTCCATACACTGAGCGTACTGTTTTGTTCTTATTGTTTTTACTCAAAGACGAGAAGTAACAAATGGCATCTTTATTCGGGAACGGGAATTCCCGCAGGTTATTATTTGTGTCTTTTTTTTGCGCATTCGTTTTGTCTGTCCTTTTTTTTGCGCACGAAGGGGGAATTCGTTTTTGTCGGTCGGGCCAGAAAGCTCTTTTATAGACACCTGAAACAAACTACAAGAAGATAATAATATATAATGCTAGCCGTCCCGGTAGCTCACATGTCGCGAATCAATATGGTGGGAGACCATTTGACGGGAGCCCATTTAATGGGAGCCAATATGTCCGAGCCCTTTTGACGGGGATATTTTTGATTGGGTCGTTTTGTCGGGGGTCGATTTGACGGAGTCATTTTGACGGGGCCGTTTTGATGGTGCACCATACAAACATGCTTCCGTGCATGCGACTCACTAAAAAAATTCAGTTATGTCAAATGTTTAAGTTCAGGGAGCAAACATAACATTTTGGTACAGAACACAAAAGGGGCATGGTCTTGTGCCCACCAACACAGAAGATGTTCTATATACATGTACATGAAACATAAGTAGGCTTAGGCCTAGTATATGTAACACATATGGTTACCATCCAAGGGGGATAAAAATATGAAGTTTTAATTCATTGAGTTGCGGCCCCTGTGGGGCTGTGGCTCTGTGGACGTAGTTGTTTTTTTCATGCTTTTGTGAGCGATGTTACCTGTGTCCCATGTCATGTGACATGGGACTGTGGGTAGTTTCATGCCTAGCCGTGTGGCACACGCAAGCCTGCTGTCTGTGGACATGGTGACCAAGATGTAGACCTAATGAAGTTTGTTTTGTACTACTGTGTTGCATCGCCGTCATGGCTCGATGCTGTAAATAAAGCGAGTACTTGACAACAACTGTCGGTGTCAGTGTGTACTTAATCTCAGGGTCAGCCCGTCGTAACCACAACACCTCAGTGGGTAAAAGCATCCCCCCTGAGTGAGGGTTACATATATAAAAACGTAGTAGGTCAAGTCCTTCATACATGTCATAAGTTAATATTCGGTGTATGACAAAAATAAGCATTTGTACCTAAGCTGTTTTTATTATTATTTTAATATTAATGAATTTAAAGACAAAGAAATATTATTATACCAATTCCTGTTTTTTAATATCAACGATCCAAATTTTAATATTTGATGTTTCTTTTAGTTTTTTCTTACACCTAGGTCATCCATAAATGACGTCACGCTTTTTTGACGATTTTTACCACCCCCTCCTCTCCGTCACACGTCGTCACAAAAAGCCAGACCCCCCCCCCCCTAAAATGACGTTACACCTAAGCCTACAGCCCCCTTAAAATTGCAGTTGAATTTTTTTTAAAACATCGATATTTTTCAAAAATCATGTCTGAACTGTCAAAATAGAGTATTTTAATTAATTCCTATTACAATTTATTAAAGCAGTTTTCTAAAACGCGAAATAACGTCTAAAATTCGTTTTCTAACATTGTTTTTTTATAATTCAAAAGTGTGACGTCGAACCATCTGAACCCCCCCCCCCCCCTCCCCCTCATCACACACACTCACAAAATTACGGATCCCCCTCCCCCCGACGAGTGTGACGTCATTTATGGACGACCCCTAGGCCTGCTTAAATCAATGTATTCAAAAGAACTAGCCTAAGGGGCAAAGTTTTAAATCTGACATTATTAAAAATCTGGCCATGACATATTTGATTTCCGCTCCCTCTGTTAACATTAACAAAATTATTTATTGGATCTTGACTAGACAATTTAAACTAGATTCTATAATCTAGATCTGAATCTAGATATAGATTTAGATCTTGTACAATAATCCTAATAATTTCATACATCTATTCCCCACCATTGTAAGTATTTCCAAATGCGTTTTCTTTTTAGCGTAATTCTAGATCTACCAGATTTAACCAGATCTAGATCTCTAGATTCTAGCTAGTAACTAGGGGTAATCCATCGTTTTAGCATAATCAATTCGGCCGTCGCTAGTAATGTAGGGTAGCGATACTCACTAACTTGAAAGCGTCCTTGGTTGCTAACCAGAAAATGGCTACCACACCTTGGCCTACGATTGGGCAATTTTTTCTGCTTTGTTCGAGAGACCACCTTAACATTAATTTTAAAAATAATTATCACGCGAAAAATGGCGTTTTTTTCGCGTATTTTAAGCTATCTGAAGATGACAAACCTATTTTTGGCAGAATTTTTTTTTTTTAAATTTGCTTCCGACCAGGTAGGCCGTTAGAATTCACAGCTTCCGGGTTTGTTGTTTTGAAGCCATCTCACGGCTCATGCGCTTACCAAAAATGGCGACCAGTTTCGCTTTCACTAATGGGTAGAGCGATAAAACTAATGATTACGAAGCCATCGTTAATTTAAGAAATCGGAACTATCCGTTTCTATTTAAGTCTGTTATTTAAGAATTGTCGGATCTACTTTTGGCCTAATTTCTATGTTTGTCTCGCAAGCGGCGCCTTAGTGAAAGTAGCTCTATATAATTCTTATCTTTCGAATCAAATAACTATAAAAAACCGCAGGTATTTTTAACCAGACTATTGCTATTTTTTACTTGAAAGCATTAATTTTACACGCGTTACAATAAACTGGTAATAATTTATTGTAGGCATGAGATATGCTCTGTAAGAATAATAATGCCATTTTATTATAATCTTTTTTGGTGAACACGAAGCGCGGGAAAATGTGTGACGCGCAAGAATCCAATCATTCGGCTAGATTTATGACTGTTTTTTATGTCACACCTAAAAATAGAATGTTTACGCTTTCTTCATTGATGATCGTTTTCATTATTTTTTTAAACTGAAAGTATGAATTATTAGTTAGATTTCAGGTTTTGTAACTTGGTATACTTACCCTTTATCAAAATTAAAAGCATAGCATGCTGATTGTGAACAAATATAGTCATAAAACACAAATATAAAGTTACAAACAATGCGATGTCGGGATGTGCCACACCCCCTCAAGAAAACACGTGTTTATTAAGCTGTTTATCTCACTTTACAACAGTAATTAAAATTAATTTTCAAATTTTTATCACTTATTGGGTAAGATTAAGCACATATTTACTAAAAATGAAAAAAAAACAAAAGCAAATTCTGTTTTAATGAAGGTCACGGGTCAAGTTTTTTTTTCCTTCTGTCATGTTCAGTGGAGGGTGCCACAGGCTGACCTGACTTTGGAATTTTTTTTTAGTAATAATGACTTTGCACAGAAAGTTAAAATATGCTAAATTGGCTTAGTTTACTAGTGTGCAAGCTATTATTGATACATTTTTAATAAAAAAATCATTCTGTAATTCTCATCAAAAAGCCTAGACCAGGGAAGTCAAACGTAAACATGGGTATAGTTTGAGTTGTTTAAAAACTTTAAATAAAGGACTATTAGGTGTCTAAATGGCACTGTAAGGTAGGGTATTATTAGATTGATGGTTTAGTGAAAAAAAAATGCAAATATTATGTGCCGATTTTAAGAAATCGGCCTCCTAAAAAGGTCACTGAAAGCATGTGTTTTTTTATTGTGACGTCATCGCTATTGTTACGGAAGCTGTACAGTAGTATCCTCTCGCTGCTTATATAATTGTGTTTTCTTTTCACTTGACACTCTTTTCAGCTTATTTTGCTAGCGTAATTAGACTAATTAAGCCTAATTGTGGATATTTCACTTTGCTTTTGGATTATACTATGACTCTAAAACCACAACGATCTGTTATTTTATTTTTTTTGTTGTTCCCTGGAATTAGATCTAGTAGTGAGCGTTGGTCTTTATGTGCTTATTTAGTAAAAATATTTAGGCCTAATTATTTGTTTTTAAATTTGTTATAGCTTAATTAATTTGTTTTACTTCTTATTGATTTTATAAATTTTAATTAGGCTAATTATAATATTATTTTCACTGGTCTTCGTTGATACATTTATTTAATATTAGGCTTAGTAAAGTTAATATTATTACGATTTTAGAGGCCTGATAGATAAATTAAATGATTTTAGCGTTGGGTCTAAGTTTACATTACTAATTAGTATTTAGTAAACCAAGTACGCATGGACTAGGACATGTATGTGTGTGCTGTGCCCGCGCTGTGGCGGGCGAAGCCTCTCTTGCTGACAAACCAGCGCGAGCGAGCGAGTCGTGTGTCACACTTGGTCTGTGTCGATGTTTGGAATGCATAGGCATATGCCTAATTCTCGCTCTCGGGTAATCAATTTTTATGCGCTGACATTTGAAAAATCAAATGACAAATAGACACACATCTTAATTAAATACATTTAATGTGAACTTTACAGGGTTCCCACGCAGCCGGGAAACCGGGAATTTCGATGAATAGCCGGGAAATATCTTTAAAAACCGGCATATCTTGCTTCTCAGGGTTTTTTTCCTTTCGGGTGTCGCGAGATTCGAACCTGGGTAAGTCCTATCCAATCGCTAGTCTCGCAGTGACTCTTGAACCCGTTAGGACGTATAAAACTTGTCTCGCCGGTTCTCGTGGTGCCTCTTTACCGTTGATCTGTTTTCCACCCATCACACATGCGTACATGGTACATCTATGCTAGCCCATAGGCTAGGGTTACCCATCATTGGCGTGACGTCATTTTTTTTTTCATTGTTTTTTTTTTTACGATTAGTTTAAAATTTAGTTTAGGCTACACATGGTTTTTTTTTTGGCTTATTTGAACTCGCCGTGTAGTCTAGAGATGGACCTACATAAACTGTATTATAAGGACTAGGATCGCACGCGAGTACAGTTTTGTTTAATATTGTTACCTATTTTAAGGATAACTGTTCTAGCAGAATATATAACTGTTAGCCAGTGATACTGAATTTGGGAGAAACACAGATTTAAAAAAAAAACACGAAATTTGCAAAAGCCAGCCTTTCTTGCGTTCATGAGAAAAAAATTAAAGGCTAGTGACGTCACCAACAATGTGAAATGCGTAGATGGTCACTTACAATTATTTCATGGAGTGGGGAGATAAAAAATTAACAACTGGAGTAAATAGGGCTTTCTTGAACTCACTGTGACCCCAAGTAGGCCCACGCGTTCATACCGCAATTGACGTCTTTAAGACGTGTTTTCACTGTCGAGCTAAGTCAAAAAATGTGTTATTGTTTGTCTTTATTTGTCTAATCTGTAATCACACTGTTGTGTGCTGACGAAGACCATGGGTTGAAACGTCCATAGTACTTGTAACTGTCTTTAACTTGTGAGGTAACTAATACTATCTGTTTTATTACAAATTGTTGTAAATAATGAGAGGATTTCTAGTGGAGCGCTTTCCGTAAAAACTGAACAGCCGCTAAAAACGACCAACCTCCGGGGAAAACGGACCAACCTCCTCTAAATTAATATATAATTGAGATATTTACCTTGTATATTTACATTATTATTGATTCTGGTTTCCAAAATCTTATCCCAAAATGAGGTACCCACGCTGATATTTCTATCCGCTTTTTTTAGTATCATGACATCATTGTTACGCTAGTTACCTCACAGAAACAACTAGTTTTTGTTTTTTGCGGAATGAACTGTTAAGTCTAGTATTTTAATTATAATTCAATTGTAGCGTGTGCAGAAAAAGTAAAATTGTGGAAATTATTATTGTATTTTTTTCTTCTCTGTGAGCCGACAGTAGCTGCATTGAATTTAATTTGTGACCGGTGGTTAACCTCGTCAACGCTGCGTGGTCTATTCGTCTAGATTTACATAGGCCTAATTTGTATGAAATGTTGTATAGTATTTCTAACAATGCTCGTTCAGTGGCTTTTTTCAGAGCTAGGCCTAATTAATTACGGGCGACTCTTATACTTTATTTATCGGCCGTTAACCTTTGCCATTTTTGCGTATTTTTGCCTACCTTGGTTTTGGTGTAGTTTAAAACTTTACCAAATGATAAAAGGCATTATTCTAGTACTTTAAGCCATCTGTGGATGATATGAAGGTCAAACATAAAATCTTTTACAATTGAGCTGTTAAATTTTTTTTTAATTGGACTAGAATGTACCAAATATTTATAATCAGGGATGTGTCTTTTCTAATTTTTAGCAGAAATCCGATGTTTCCATTTCAGCTGCAATTTTCCTCCGCTACTATCTTTTTCTACTCATTTTTCTACCAATTTTCAATTTTTGTCAATTTTTGACAAAGTGTTAAAAATTCGGAAAAAGCAGAAATCAAATCAACGGAAACAGCCCACACATTTATTCCACATATTCATATTTAAATAGAATATTACAGTACTTATGTCGAACAGACAATCAAATACCAGCATTTCAATTGGATGATTGTGTTAGGTGTGATCAAGATTAAATGTCGGTCAAGATTAAGAATTTTGACGGTTTTCCTAATGTTTCAGAACACAAATTTTTTAATTCCAAATTTTCCACTGATTTTCCCTAAAATAAACCGGGAGTGATCTCCACTAAATTTTCTCGAATATTCTTATATAACACTACGGGGGATGGCAACTCGTGATATAGACAATATTTTTAATCCACATGTTTAATTACTTTAACTTTTTTATAATAGAATAGAATCTCGTAGAAAAAAGAATTGCACACCAAGTGAATGCCAAACAAAATGCGTATAATACTGCTGGATATTATTAGTATTTATAAATTCACATGCATATTTTTGAGAAATCTGAAATAGCGTAAAACTACTATTTCTGGTCAACGCGAATTACTCAAAATTCAATAGAAGGCAGAGAATTATATCTTTTACTTGTAAGTGTAATTTCATTTATCTATCTGAAATAGTACTCAAATTATAGGCTTTTTGAAAAATTGGAAGAAGAAAAAGTTCCACTTCTGGTTATTAGAAATCGCTGAAAAGTTGATACGGATCTACAAACTTGATATTATACTTATATATGAAATTTCATCAACCTAGCTGTTTACAGACATACATACACACACACACATACATACACAGACATACAGACAAGATTGCAAAATTATGTTTTTTGCACAATTACAATACTTTCTCTATACTCTGTATATACAAGAAAGTAAAAATGTCTGCTTTTTTGTGGTTTAATTAAATTTAATTTGGCAAGTCCATGGTCAATGGTTATGCGCGTTGAAATTTATATGAAAAATAGCAGGGAATTTTCTGGTAAAAAAATTGTGGGAACCCTGATATCAGCTGTATTAAACAGTTAGGACAGTAACGGCGTGACATTGTTTTAATTGCCATTGAAAAAAAAGATAAAACGTATTGAGTTCTAGTCCAAAAAAAGTTTCCTCTTTTTTTATGGTCTGGTCACATCGTTTTAATACTTTTATAATTTAAAACATTATTTGCTTGATCTTTTAGTTCACTTAGGTGATGGCATGCTCTTGCATGGAGCTGGCCCTTGAAGGGGAGCGACTGTGTAAAGCTGGGGACTGCAGGATGGGTGTAGAGTTTTTTGAAGCTGCAGTGGAAGCTGGTACAGATGACCTCAAGACTTTAAGTGCTATCTATAGTCAGCTGGGAAATGCTTACTTCTACCTCCAGGATTATGCTAAAGCCTTGGAGTATCATAAACATGACCTCAATTTAGCTAGGTACCAATTGTCATTGTCTGTCCAGTCTTGTCAGTTACTGTATCTGTCAGTAAAATTATCTTGCTTAACATGTGTTTTTTAAACATCAGAACAACTAACGACAAAATTGGGGAAGCAAAAGCCTCTGGTAACCTCGGCAACACATTGAAGGTGATTGGTCGTTTTGATGAGGCCATAGTTTGTTGTCTTCGTCACCTGGAGATTTCTAGAGAAGTTGAGGACAAGGTAAGACATGTGGGCTAGGTGAGACAGGCTGTATTGGTCAAATAATGAAGGCTAGGTGAGACAGGCTGTATTGGTCAAATAATGAAGGCTAGGTGAGACAGGCTGTATTGGTCAAATAATGAAGGCTAGATGAGACAGGCTGTATTGGTCAAATAATGAAGGCTCTGATCATGAAGATTAGTGCCATTTTTACCCAATGGTACAATATTTATTACTATACAAACTGAGAATCAATCCACATTGTTTTTTTAGCTAACAGTGATACATGGTTATTGGAGAATCAGGCTGGCGTAAAATTTATTTTTTCTTCAATTGGCAGTTTTTATTAAATGGGCATGAGTGCAATCTTGTTTATTTTGTCTATTAATTTTGCCATTAAAAAAAAACCCATGAAATCTGCTGATGCCAATGTTTCTAGCATTCATTTAGAATGTGTAAGTTTAAAAAATACAGGTACCTTGGAAGAAAAGACATAACCATTCAATTGAAAATAGAGCAAACTATCATTATAGTTTCAATTTTGAAAAAAAAACTATTTTCATTTTTGTGAACTTGCAAAATAAATAAAAAAACCTATTTAATACAAGGTAAAAATTGCAATCAAAAGAGACTTTCAGTATTATTTCATAGTAACAGAAACTTCTTTTATTTTAGATATCAGCTATATTATGATATTAATTAGTACAGTATTAGTATAGCGGGGGGGGGGGGGGGTTCAAATATTTTGTCTTTAAGCAAAATATTTGCTGTTAACAGTTTTTTGATTGCCTGAATAACAACACACTTTTGGCTGAATACACACTTTATTGAACTGAGTATTAAGGAAATGCTAAAATTAAATACCCTAGATATGTTACAAATAGCAGAAATTCATCAGTGTACAGGTCTACAACTTTTTAGAGTAGGCTTCAAAGTGTGACTTAATCAGCTTATTAACTTAGTATATTAACATTAATTCTATTAACATATGCAGTTGTTTTGTATTGAGGGAGGTTCTAGAAATGTAATATTACATTATGGGATCAAGATGAGTTATACGCACAATTCTTTAAATATTAATTTTTGTTTAAAGTAAATTAAAGATTGTTAAAAAGTTAAAATCACTAAAGAAAGTTTCAGTGTTTAAAAATTTCAGTTTTGGGATTGAATGTTAGGATAAATTAGTTTTGGGATTGAATTTTTAGGATATGATTCACTTTAAAAAAATTAGTGGCACCCCTTTAAAAATGTCTGCTTTTTTGTGATTTAATTTGGCAAGTTAGTTCAATGGTTATGCACCCTGAAAATTATATGAAAAATAGCAGGGAATTTCTTGGATTAGCAGGGAATTTATTCTTGAAATAGAAGGGAATTTATTCTTGAAATAGAAGGGAATTTATTCTTGGAATAGAAGGAAATTTATACTTGGAATAGAAGGGAATTTTCTGGTCAAAAAATTGTGGGAACTAATCTGGTTGATTTAATTTTCCATCGCAGTAACTGAAACTTTCCAATTAGGCTCTTAATGTTGAAGACTTACTTTAAAAAATATTGACTTCTGTCACTATGAAACATAGTATTAGTTTATATATATTTGTGTAGTAGGGTTTATGCGCATTAGGGGTGTTAAGTTTTAGAATAACATATTATGGGGTAGAGATGGGTCTAAAATCTTCAACTAATTTTTTTTCTGAATGTTGTTAATAAGATAATAAAATAAAGCCTATTAAAGGACTGTATATTACACAAAATATGGATTGAACATCTCAAATTATAATAAAAAAAAAGTTAATTTAATAAAAACAGTTCTGTGCAACATTAAGTTTTAGGGTCTGAATTTTGGTTTCAGGATTGGTAAAATTTGTGGACTGATTTTCAGGATTGACTTAAAAAAATCATTGGCACCTCTGTTAGGTGAGACTTGTTAGGCAAGAAAGACAAATGTTTCTATATTGAACAATACACTATATTCAGTTAATTCTTCAAGGGAAAACTCTTGGGGTGGATGGGGGGGGGGGGGGTAATACGCTTCTGGCAGGAAAATTAATCGGAAACAATTATTTTTATCAGTTCTTACACAAACTTAAACTACGTCCATCTTTTTACTGAAATCATGGATTGGATTAGTAATAAAGTATATGGGTTAATTTTTATAACTCTTGACTTAAAATGCGGCTGCTGAATGAGGATTATGCAGTATTAAAAATGCCTTTTTTGCAGTGGTTTTGCCAAATAAAATTCTATAAAATATAAATTCAACCAAACGGGAAAAGTACAAAAAGTAAACGCAACTAAAATTGGTTGCTCTAGCAATATCATTTATGATTTTAAAACTTTGGCTAATCAATAGGTTTGAAAAGCTGGTTACAAATGTTTGTTGCCAGAAAGCATATTTTTAAACTAAAATTGGATATTCTACATTTGTGTAATAAGTACAAAATTATTCCGGTTTTATTAAGGCTAGAAATAATCAAACAAATACTTAAAACAAATAATTACTATAGTAATATAATATAGTAATAAAATAGTAATTTAGCAAACACTTTTATTTTTATTTGGATTATTAGTCAGGGTATGGTGGTGATAGGGGATGTTATTTTATTTAATATAAATACAATACTAGACCATAATAGCGTTGTGTATTTTATCATGGAAAGCAAATGTTGTGACTTTCATTGGTTTGCTCTCCCTGGCCATTCTGGTTGATTTCAAGTAGGGGTTGAGGTCGGTTTTTAAAAATATTTGAATTAATAAAATAATTCAAAACGCCTTTTCAACGGCTTAAATTTAATACAAAAATATGAGTGTAATCGATGGTTCTCAAACAGCTGTAAATTTTTAAAATGTAATTATAATTTTATTGCTAGCCATGGTTTAAAAAAAAAAGATTTTTCATAAAATTAGCATGATTACATAGACTTTTTAAGACAACTAATTAAATGGAGCAACTTGATGGCAGGCAGGTGGGAGAGTGGTTATGGTCTCAAGCCATGAGTAATCAATAAACATAACCTTTTGGGAGAGTGGTTATGGTCTCAAGCCATGAGTAATCAATAAACATAACCTTTTGGGAGAGTGGTTATGGTCTCAAGCCATGAGTAATCAATAAACATAACCTTTATTTCCCTAGGTTGGAGAGGCCAGAGCTTTATACAACTTGGGTAATGTGTGTCATGCCAAGGGGAAGCATCTTGGTCGTCATGGAAACCAGGATCCTGGGGAATTTGCACCAGAAGTGAAAGAATGCCTACAGAAAGCTGTTCAGTATTATGAGTGGGTGTTGTAGTAACCCAATTAAGATTTCAGTATTATGAGTGGGTGTTGTAGTAACCCAATTAAGATTTCAGTATTATGAGTGGGTGTTGTAGTAACCCAATTAAGATTTCAGTATTTTCTGATGGCAATTAGCTGTGATAGTCAAATTATCATCTTATGTGTTGTACTTGTGTTCCCATATGGTACCTTGTTCTCATAAGTCGTACCATGTTTAATTCTGTGAAGTAGAGTTCACTGGTTTCGGCATATGAAGAGATAGTGTAGTTAGCACTATGCCTAGCCGCCTTTACTTTCCCTAACGTGAGTTAGGTACCCATCAGAGTTGGGTGGACTCACTGACGGTCAATTGACTTGAACCCAGATTCGAACTCGAGACTTATGGGTTAGCAGTCCAGCTCTCTACCCCTAGATCACCCCATTACCCTGTATTCCCATCTTATTCTGAAACCTGTATTTCAGTGAAAACTTGGACCTAGTGAAAGTTCTGGGGGACAGATCAGCTGAAGGAAGAGCTTGTGGTAACCTAGGCAACACACACTATCTCCTTGGCAACTTCTCTCAGGCTATTATGTTCCATGAACAGGTAATTAGCTTCTCTTTAAAATGATTCATTTTCAGATGGAGGTGTGCCATTAGCCTCTCTTTGAAATGATTTGTGTCCAAATGAAAGTATGTCATTAGCCTCTCTTTGAAATGATTTGTGCCCAAATGAAAGTATGTCATTAGCCTCTCTTTGAAATGATTTGTGCCCAAATGAAAGTATGTCATTAGCCTCTCTTTGAAATGATTTGTTTCCAGATGAAAGTATGTCATTAGCCTCTCTTTGAAATGATTTGTGTCCAAACTAAAGTATCACCCCGCTTTAACACTTACAAAATGTATACTAGACTTGACCTACTTATACATATACTAAACATGTTATGGATATATGGAACATCTTCTGAATCATTGGGCACAAAACCATCCCTTTTTTTTGGACTGGACTAAGTTTTTGTATTCACTTGCTGAACAAAACATTCAACATGTTCTAAATGTTCAGATGAGTACACATGCGTTGAAAAGTAGTAAGCTCATGCTAATTCCTAGGCCTCAGCTGATTGCAAAATGTAACTCAAATTTACTAATCTTCAGTTTTTGAGCACACACGTTTCTAAACTTATAAGTTCTCTACTAAAAAATTGTTTTAATAAGTATCCTTTAATAAAATCCCGAATACGTTTTAATGAAAAATTTGAATGTTTATTTAACCCATTACATGCCGCCCATGGGCGCCTGAGAATCTTATTGTGTGGTACACACCACTTTGCCCATGGTCGCCCAACTATGTAAAGTACGTTTACTTACGCCTAGTAGCAGATGTCTCCCTGGTAATGAGATTTTGAAGATCCCTTTGGAAGAGGGAAAGAATAAGTTTTGTTTACGTTGTTTTATTGTGTATCATTTTCTGCAATTTTTTTTAAGTTAAGAATTTTTATTTTTTTCTAAATTACTTGCAATACAATTAGTGAAATTAAATCTAATTAAAATGCCTCTGCCGTTGAATCAGGTTTTTATTTATAATGAAACTTTTGAAAAAGAAAGTAGCTCCACGAGACCATGTTGAATTTCTTTTTAGCATTTAATTCAAATTTTTATGGAAGTAATTTTAGAAGTAATGTTTTATTTACGTTTTTCTGTGATTAGTGTTATTATTCATTTATAGTAAACTATTATGCTATTTAACCTTATAATAATAAACTTAAACCATTTTTGTGTTTAAGGTTTTTTATTATTTCAATGTAAGTGGTTATTTAAAAAATATTTTGTTTAAAAAAGTGCCGACATTAAAAAAAAGCTCTGACTTTTCACCCGGCTGTAGGGGAAGTTTAGATCCCTTGGCAAGTAAAGAGTAAATGGCATTACAATTGAGCATGAAGGGGTGACACTTGTACTGACTATAAAAACAGGCAGATAACAAGTGATACATATTTAGGTTTAAAGTGGGACAAAATTAACGTTAAGAGTTGAAGAAAAAACAAGTGTCATAGTCCCTACTCTAAAATCTAGATCCCAATTCTATTCTTAATAATAGGCTTGTGGATAGGGTCTCAGTATAGTTCTAACTGGATCTCAATATTTTGATAAGGTCTCAGTATAGTTCTAACTGGATCTCAATATTTTGATGGGGTCTCAGTATAGTTCTAACTGGATCTCAATATTTTGATGGGGTCTCAGTATAGTTCTAACTGGATCTCAATATTTTGATAAGGTCTCAGTATAGTTCTAACTGGATCTCAATATTTTGATGGGGTCTCAGTATAGTTCTAACTGGATCTCAATATTTTGATGGGGTCTCAGTATAGTTCTAACTGGATCTCAATATTTTGATAAGGTCTCAGTATAGTTCTAACTGGATCTCAATATTTTGATAAGGTCTCAGTATAGTTTTAACTGGATCTCAATATTTTGATGGGGTCTCAGTATAGTTCTAACTGGATCTCAATATTATGATAAGGTCTCAGTATAGTTCTAACTGGATCTCAATATTTTGATAAGGTCTCAGTATAGTTATAACTGGATCTCAATATTTTGATGGGGTCTCAGTATAGTTATAACTGGATCTCAATATTTTGATACGGTCTCAGTATAGTTATAACTGGATCTCAATATTTTGAATGAACTTGACAGATGCACTATTTCTGGCAGACTAATGTTTAGTCATTCAACAAAATACAAGCTGATCCTAAAGGATATAACAATCAACTGAACAAAGCAGTATGTTATAAACCGCAAATAAATATTGTATCAAAACATTCCTCTCCTCAAGTATTGAATGGTGTTTTTTAATTTTTAAACGTCTATTTCTTCTTTGGGTAATATTTGTTTGACCTGAATTTAGAAATAAAATTCTGAGAAGGTATATCAGTAAACAAAATGTTTCTCCGGTTAATTTAATAAGTATGTTCAAATAACAGCAAGCTGGGGAAATGGCTACCATTAGGTAGAAGGCGATTCTAGTGTGGGTTTAGGCTAGGGTAGTAGCAGGGAGGTTAATGTCTTACACTCTGCTAACATAATTTCAAGCTCAATTGCTGACACTCCAATAATTTCTAAAGTCTTACATATTCTTTAATTTTAGGTAATTCATTGTTGCATCGTAGGCATCATAGCTACACCATTCTCCTTTAAAATAATTTCATAACTTGCGTGCCCATAATCTCCTTTTTTTTACTTTGATTACTCTATCTATTAATTATGTAGGCCTTATGTATATAGCAGACACTCCAGGTCAAAGGTAGTGTTTTCTAAAATGTTCTATAATGTGTTATGTAAGTTTACATATTCTGTGGAGAAAATGTTTCCAGATAAAATGAACTTCTGGCTGGCTTTGTAAAGACAAGTGTAGTGTACAAGTCATGAGTGTCAGTGTCAGGAAGTGATTGTTTCAACTCATTTCTTTTCCCACTCATAAGTGTCAGTGTCAGGAAGTGATTGTTTCAACTCATTTCTTTTCCCAGTCATAAGTGTCAGTGTCAGAAAGTGATTGTTTCAACTCATTTCTTTTCCCACTCATAAGTGTCAGTGTCAGGAAGTGATTGTTTCATTTCTTTTCCCAGAGGCTTTCAATAGCCAAGGAATTTGGTGACAAGGCTGCTGAGAGGCGAGCATACACCAACTTAGGCAACGCCCACATTTTTCTTGGAGACTTCGAACATGCAGCTGATTATTACAAGTAATTAACTAATAACATCCATAATAAATAAAGATTGGACACTAAATGATTGGTTAAGCACTTGAAAAAAAAATTATAAAATATTATAATTATTATATATTTAAATTATAAAAAACATTCAGTAAAACAAAAAGCATTATCTTGGAGAATAGTTAATATTTTATTTTGTTTTTGTCTGAATTCCAAATAATCTTAATAATACATAAAAAACCTTATGAAGGTTTAACAAAAAAAAAAACTCCACCTTTTAGAAAGTTCTAGCACATTCTGGCACAACAAAATGTTTCTTTGTTAGAAAAATTCCTGCCACATTAGACAGTAAATGGTCAAACACATTCAATAATCAACTGTCAGTGCTTGGTGAAGCATTTGCCTTGTATAAACAAGATGTAAAGGTTGCTACTGTTTCTTGTAGGAAAAGTCTGCAGATAGCCAAACAACTGGGTGAACGGGCCTTGGAGGCTCAAGCCTGCTACAGCCTGGGTAACACTTACACACTGATGAGAGACTTTGAGACCTCCATCAGATACCATCAGCGCCATCTGTTGATAGCCCAGGAGTTGTTTGATCGTGTGGGAGAGGGGCGGGCTTGCCAGAGTCTGGGAAATGCCAATTGTGCTTTAGGGAATCACAAACTTGCTGTTCAGTTTGCCAGCCGACATCTGGAGATTTCTAAAGAGGTGAGCTTTGTAGAGGCTGTAAGACTGGGGCCATCATCATGTACCTACTGGGGCCATCATGTACCTACTGGGGCCATCATGTACCTACTGGGGCCATCATGTACCTACTGGGGCCATCATGTACCAACTGTAAGACTGGGGCCATCATGTACCTACTGTAAGACTGGGGCCATCATGTACCTACTGGGGCCATCATGTACCTACTGGGGCCATCATGTACCTACTGGGGCCATCATGTACCAACTGTAAGACTGGGGCCATCATGTACCTACTGTAAGACTGGGGCCATCATGTACCTACTGTAAGACTGGGGCCATCATGTACCTACTGGGGCCATCATGTACCTACTGGGGCCATCATGTACCTACTGGGGCCATCATGTACCTACTGGGGCCATCATGTACCTACTGGGGCCATCATGTACCAACTGTAAGACTGGGGCCATCATGTACCTACTGTAAGACTGGGGCCATCATGTACCTACTGTAAGACTGGGGCCATCATGTACCTACTGTAAGACTGGGGCCATCATGTACCTACTGTAAGACTGGGGCCATCATGTACCTACTGTAAGACTGGGGCCATCATGTACCTACTGTAAGACTGGGGCCATCATGTACCTACTGTAAGACTGGGGCCATCATGTACCTACTGTAAGACTGGGGCCATCATGTACCTACTGTAAGACTGGGGCCATCATGTACCTACTGTAAGACTGGGGCCGTCAAGTTTTAGGTCAGCTTTGTTTTCTCTCAGATTGGAGACCAGACTGGCTTGATGACAGCACAGATGAACCTGGCCGACCTGAAGGACATAATGGGAGATCCCTCAGGGTAGGTTGATCACACTATAATGGGGGTCTCAGGTCTCCTCATGGTAGGTTGATCACACTATAATGGGGGTCTCAGGTCTCCTCAGGGTAGGTTGATCACACTATAATGGGGGTCTCAGGTCTCCTCAGGGTAGGTTGATCACACTATAATGGGGGTCTCCTCAAGGTAGGTTGATCACACTATAATGGGGGTCTCAGGTCTCCTCAGGGTAGGTTGCTCACACTATAATGGGGGTCTCCTCAGGGTTGGTTGCTCACACTATAATGGGGGTCTCCTCAGGGTAGCAGGGGTGCCACTTTTCCGGGATATCCCGGATTTCCGGATTCGAGAATCATATTTTTTTCCCTTTCCGGATTCGCAAGATTTGATTTTGAAAATTTCCGGGTTTGCATTTTAAAAAAAAAATTTAGGTCGTTTTAAGCTTGAAAATTTTGGCATTGTAAAAATCGTTTTTATCGTCAACACTCCCGCTAATGGCCTTTTCCGAAAAAAATGAATAGTAAATGACGTCAGCAACAATCTCACGCGTGCGCCAAGGACCAAATACAAATCGGCTGCATCAGATGGGTGAGGCTGTAGACGAAACTTTTTGATGTCATTCGTGGTGTGGTTGTCTGGCTATTTATGACGATATGGGTTGGGGGTAAAACTCGCATTATTTACGTGATGTCATCAATGGGATACCGCTAGGCTGTGTAATAAAAACAACTAAAGCCCTCAAGTACTAGATCAAGCTCACTAGCATCGCCGATGGTCTTTAAAAAAAAAACCGAAAGATTTTGCTCCGATCAAATTTTTTTTTTTTTTTTTTTTTTTTTGTATTTGGTATTACCAAAAGAAAAGAAAAAACTATTTGAAGGACTATTTTATGTATTTTTACCACCTCTTACCCGCTTCTTCAAGGTCGCGCTGACCGTAAGACCTACGTCACGAGACCACGCGCAAGCACAGTCTGAGTCGTGTCTCTCGGTCAAGGCAGTTCTACAAGTACTAGCGCTGTTTAATTTTAACGTGTTTATTTTTTTAATAAGGGACTTCTTCTAGATTCAAGAAAAAAAACTAGAACTCCATCGTTTTATATCATTAAACAAAATATGTAGGCCTGCTATAATTTAGTTACACAATCTAGCAGGGTCTACATCTAATTGTTTTTTTTTACTTTGGTAAAACGTCATTGAAATGTTTAAAAAACCTTGAAGTACCGTGTCTGAGAAAATAGCCGCTATTACTGCCCCCCCCCCCCCAACCGCTTGTAAAAAAAATCAGCTTTTCACTTAGTCGGGCGGCTACATCTCTGACATGAGTATTACTAGCGTAGTTACTTCTAAAATTATTTTTTAAATTAACTTAATTCTGTTATTCCGCGATATGAACTTAAAACTTCCACAATATTTCTTCACGTCATCATGTATATCAATGGTGGGGGCGTTGGGGTCGTTCATAAATGACGTCACACTCGTAAGGGGAGGGGGGTTCGTAATTTTGTCATGAGGGGGAGGGGTTCAGATGGTGTGACATCACACTTTTGCATTATCCAAAAGCTATGTTAGAAAACGAATTTTAGCCGTTATTTCGCGTTTTAGAATATTGTTTCAATAAAGTGTAATAGGAATTGATTAAAATACTCTATGTTGACAGAGGTCAGACAAGATTTTTGGAAAATATCGTATTTTAAGAACAATTCGACTGCAATTTTTAGGGGTGGGGGGGGGGGTGTAGGCTGAGGTGTGACGTCATTTTAGAGGGCGGGGTCTGGCTTTTTGTGACAGATATGTGACCGAGGGGAGGTGGGAGGTAAAAATCTTCAAAAAAGCGTGACATCATTTATGGATGACCCCATTGGTGGTTGATTGGGAAAACAGGGTTTTAGGTTTTTGTTGTGGCTGTTAATAATTAAAGCCTTGAATAGCTACAGTAAGTCAACCCTGTATTTTAATATAGTGACAATCTTATTAGGGGTCTGCCTATAGTGCGCTTATTATTCAATAACAAGACATAGAGGTTAGCAATTGGCTGACTACACACTTTAAATCAAGCTAGGAAGTTCTCAAAAATTAAATACAGTAATGTTATAAAAGCTGGCTGGGAGGGGGGGGGGGAGTTCTACAATAGCACATTATGGGGTAGGCCTAGAGATGGGTGGGACTAACATTGTAAACTAATTTTGTTGTAAGCACAATCCTTTAAAGATTAATTTTTATTTCAAGCTTGTTACAAAGAAAATAAATCCATTTTAAAGGAATGTAAATTGAACATAATATGAATCAAATGTCTCAAAAAATAATGAAATAATAGTCCATTTTATTTTGAAATTCCGCGCGAAATTAAGTTTCAGGGTTTCAAAAATTTCAAATTTTAGTTTCAGGATTGGTAAAATTTTGGGATTCATTTTCAGGATTCACTTAGAAAATGAGTGGCACCCCTGGGGTAGGTTGATCACACTATAATGGGGGTCTCCTCAGGGTAGGTTGCTCACACTATAATGGGGGTCTCCTCAGGGTAGGTTGATCACACTATAATGGGGGTCTCAGGTCTCCTCAGGGTAGGTTGATCACACTATAATGGGGGTCTCCTCAGGGTAGGTTGATCACACTATAATGGGGGTCTCCTCAGGGTAGGTTGCTCACACTATAATGGGGGTCTCCTCAGGGTAGGTTGATCACACTATAATGGGGGTCTCCTCAGGGTAGGTTGCTCACACTATAATGGGGGTCTCCTCAGGGTAGGTTGATCACACTATAATGGGGGTCTCCTCAGGGTAGGTTGATCACACTATAATGGGGGTCTCCTCAGGGTAGGTTGATCACACTATAATGGGGGTCTCAGGTCCCTCAGGGTAGGTTGATCACACTATAATGGGGGTCTCCTCAGGGTAGGTTGATCACACTATAATGGGGGTCTCCTCAGGGTAGGTTGATCATACTATAATGGGGGTCTCCTCAGGGTAGGTTGATCACACTATAATGGGGGTCTCAGGTCCCTCAGGGTAGGTTGATCACACTATAATGGGGGTCTCCTCAGGGTAGGTTGATCACACTATAATGGGGGTCTCCTCAGGGTAGGTTGCTCACACTATAATGGGGGTCTACTCAGGGTAGGTTGATCACACTATAATGGGGGTCTCCTCAGGGTAGGTTGCTCACACTATAATGGGGGTCTCCTCAGGGTAGGTTGATCACACTATAATGGGGGTCTCCTCAGGGTAGGTTGATCACACTATAATGGGGGTCTCCTCAGGGTAGGTTGATCACACTATAATGGGGGTCTCCTCAGGGTAGGTTGATCACACTATAATGGGGGTCTCAGGTCTCCTCAGGGTAGGTTGATCACACTATAATGGGGGTCTCCTCAGGGTAGGTTGATCACACTATAATGGGGGTCTCCTCAGGGTTGGTTGCTCACACTATAATGGGGGTCTCCTCAGGGTTGGTTGCTCACACTATAATGGGGGTCTCCTCAGGGTAGGTTGATCACACTATAATGGGGGTCTCCTCAGGGTAGGTTGCTCACACTATAATGGGGGTCTCCTCAGGGTAGGTTGATCACACTATAATGGGGGTCTCCTCAGGGTTGGTTGCTCACACTATAATGGGGGTCTCCTCAGGGTAGGTTGATCACACTATAATGGGGGTCTCCTCAGGGTAGGTTGATCACACTATAATGGGGGTCTCCTCAGGGTAGGTTGATCACACTATAATGGGGGTCTACTCAGGGTAGGTTGATCACACTATAATGGGGGTCTCCTCAGGGTAGGTTGATCACACTATAATGGGGGTCTCCTCAGGGTAGGTTGCTCACACTATAATGGGGGTCTACTCAGGGTAGGTTGATCACACTATAATGGGGGTCTCCTCAGGGTAGGTTGATCACACTATAATGGGGGTCTCCTCAGGGTAGGTTGATCACACTATAATGGGGGTCTCCTCAGGGTAGGTTGATCACACTATAATGGGGGTCTCCTCAGGGTAGGTTGCTCACACTATAATGGGGGTCTCCTCAGGGTAGGTTGATCACACTATAATGGGGGTCTCCTCAGGGTAGGTTGATCACACTATAATGGGGGTCTCCTCAGGGTAGGTTGATCACACTATAATGGGGGTCTACTCAGGGTAGGTTGATCACACTATAATGGGGGTCTCCTCAGGGTAGGTTGATCACACTATAATGGGGGTCTCCTCAGGGTAGGTTGATCACACTATAATGGGGGTCTACTCAGGGTAGGTTGCTCACACTATAATGGGGGTCTCCTCAGGGTAGGTTGATCACACTATAATGGGGGTCTCCTCAGGGTAGGTTGATCACACTATAATGGGGGTCTCCTCAGGGTAGGTTGATCACACTATAATGGGGGTCTCCTCAGGGTAGGTTGATCACACTATAATGGGGGTCTCAGGTCTCCTCAGGGTAGGTTGATCACACTATAATGGGGGTCTCCTCAGGGTAGGTTGATCACACTATAATGGGGGTCTCCTCAGGGTAGGTTGATCATACTATAATGGGGGTCTCCTCAGGGTAGGTTGATCACACTATAATGGGGGTCTCCTCAGGGTAGGTTGATCACACTATAATGGGGGTCTCCTCAGGGTAGGTTGATCACACTATAATGGGGGTCTCCTCAGGGTAGGTTGATCATACTATAATGGGGGTCTCCTCAGGGTAGGTTGATCACACTATAATGGGGGTCTCCTCAGGGTAGGTTGATCACACTATAATGGGGGTCTCCTCAGGGTAGGTTGATCACACTATAATGGGGGTCTACTCAGGGTAGGTTGCTCACACTATAATGGGGGTCTCCTCAGGGTAGGTTGATCACACTATAATGGGGGTCTCCTCAGGGTAGGTTGATCACACTATAATGGGGGTCTCCTCAGGGTAGGTTGATCACACTATAATGGGGGTCTCCTCAGGGTAGGTTGATCACACTATAATGGGGGTCTCAGGTCTCCTCAGGGTAGGTTGATCACACTATAATGGGGGTCTCCTCAGGGTAGGTTGATCACACTATAATGGGGGTCTCCTCAGGGTAGGTTGATCATACTATAATGGGGGTCTCCTCAGGGTAGGTTGATCACACTATAATGGGGGTCTCAGGTCCCTCAGGGTAGGTTGATCATACTATAATGGGGGTCTCCTCAGGGTAGGTTGCTCACACTATAATGGGGGTCTCCTCAGGGTAGGTTGATCACACTATAATGGGGGTCTCCTCAGGGTAGGTTGATCATACTATAATGGGGGTCTCCTCAGGGTAGGTTGATCACACTATAATGGGGGTCTCCTCAGGGTAGGTTGATCACACTATAATGGGGGTCTCCTCAGGGTAGGTTGATCACACTATAATGGGGGTCTCCTCAGGGTAGGTTGATCACACTATAATGGGGGTCTCCTCAGGGTAGGTTGATCACACTATAATGGGGGTCTCCTCAGGGTAGGTTGATCACACTATAATGGGGGTCTCCTCAGGGTAGGTTGCTCACACTATAATGGGGGTCTCCTCAGGGTAGGTTGCTCACACTATAATGGGGGTCTCCTCAGGGTAGGTTGATCACACTATAATGGGGGTCTCCTCAGGGTAGGTTGATCATACTATAATGGGGGTCTCCTCAGGGTAGGTTGATCACACTATAATGGGGGTCTCCTCAGGGTAGGTTGATCACACTATAATGGGGGTCTCCTCAGGGTAGGTTGCTCACACTATAATGGGGGTCTACTCAGGGTAGGTTGATCACACCATAATGGGGGTCTCCTCAGGGTAGGTTGATCACACTATAATGGGGGTCTCCTCAGGGTAGGTTGCTCACACTATAATGGGGGTCTACTCAGGGTAGGTTGATCACACTATAATGGGGGTCTCCTCAGGGTAGGTTGCTCACACTATAATGGGGGTCTCCTCAGGGTAGGTTGATCATACTATAATGGGGGTCTCAGGTCTCCTCAGGGTAGGTTGATCACACTATAATGGGGGTCTCCTCAGGGTAGGTTGATCACACTATAATGGGGGTCTCCTCAGGGTAGGTTGCTCACACTATAATGGGGGTCTCCTCAGGGTAGGTTGCTCACACTATAATGGGGGTCTCCTCAGGGTAGGTTGCTCACACTATAATGGGGGTCTCCTCAGGGTAGGTTGATCACACTATAATGGGGGTCTCCTCAGGGTAGGTTGATCACACTATAATGGGGGTCTCAGGTCTCCTCAGGGTAGGTTGATCACACTATAATGGGGGTCTCAGGTCTCCTCAGGGTAGGTTGATCACACTATAATGGGGGTCTCCTCAGGGTAGGTTGATCACACTATAATGGGGGTCTCCTCAGGGTAGGTTGATCACACTATAATGGGGGTCTCCTCAGGGTAGGTTGATCACACTATAATGGGGGTCTCCTCAGGGTAGGTTGCTCACACTATAATGGGGGTCTCCTCAGGGTAGGTTGATCACACTATAATGGGGGTCTCCTCAGGGTAGGTTGATCACACTATAATGGGGGTCTCCTCAGGGTAGGTTGATCACACTATAATGGGGGTCTCCTCAGGGTAGGTTGCTCACACTATAATGGGGGTCTCCTCAGGGTAGGTTGATCACACTATAATGGGGGTCTCCTCAGGGTAGGTTGATCACACTATAATGGGGGTCTCCTCAGGGTAGGTTGATCACACTATAATGGGGGTCTCCTCAGGGTAGGTTGATCACACTATAATGGGGGTCTCCTCAGGGTAGGTTGATCACACTATAATGGGGGTCTCCTCAGGGTAGGTTGCTCACACTATAATGGGGGTCTCCTCAGGGTAGGTTGATCACACTATAATGGGGGTCTCCTCAGGGTAGGTTGATCACACTATAATGGGGGTCTCCTCAGGGTAGGTTGATCACACTATAATGGGGGTCTCCTCAGGGTAGGTTGATCACACTATAATGGGGGTCTCAGGTCTCCTCAGGGTAGGTTGATCACACTATAATGGGGGTCTCCTCAGGGTAGGTTGATCACACTATAATGGGGGTCTCCTCAGGGTAGGTTGATCATACTATAATGGGGGTCTCCTCAGGGTAGGTTGATCACACTATAATGGGGGTCTCAGGTCCCTCAGGGTAGGTTGATCACACTATAATGGGGGTCTCCTCAGGGTAGGTTGATCACACTATAATGGGGGTCTCCTCAGGGTAGGTTGATCACACTATAATGGGGGTCTCCTCAGGGTAGGTTGATCACACTATAATGGGGGTCTACTCAGGGTAGGTTGATCACACTATAATGGGGGTCTCCTCAGGGTAGGTTGATCACACTATAATGGGGGTCTCCTCAGGGTAGGTTGATCACACTATAATGGGGGTCTACTCAGGGTAGGTTGATCACACTATAATGGGGGTCTCCTCAGGGTTGGTTGCTCACACTATAATGGGGGTCTCCTCAGGGTAGGTTGATCACACTATAATGGGGGTCTCCTCAGGGTAGGTTGATCACACTATAATGGGGGTCTCCTCAGGGTAGGTTGATCACACTATAATGGGGGTCTCAGGTCTCCTCAGGGTAGGTTGATCACACTATAATGGGGGTCTCCTCAGGGTAGGTTGATCACACTATAATGGGGGTCTCCTCAGGGTAGGTTGATCACACTATAATGGGGGTCTCCTCAGGGTAGGTTGATCACACTATAATGGGGGTCTACTCAGGGTAGGTTGATCACACTATAATGGGGGTCTCCTCAAGGTAGGTTGATCACACTGGAGAGTAACTCAAATATTAGGCTCATAACCATTAATTTCCTGATGACCGCCGTATATAATCTAGTGATAAAAAACCATGACCAACGCCTCATGAAACTTTGAGAGCTAGTAGACCAAAGCCCCTGGATACCAGAAAAAATAGTGGCCCTTCCAGGAAAACTTTCTTACAAATTATTCAATGAAATAAAAAAATCCATTGTCCCTTAAGAAATGACATGATTTCATTCTGATAATTTTTTTCTTTAGGTCATTAAGTGGAGCAGACAAACATGATAGTGCCTTTGGTAAGGACTTTTTATATGAATACTTGCTTGTAAATGATGAGTTGACCTCTAACCTCTGGTTTTAAATGATGAGTTGACCTCTAACCTCTGGTTTTAAATGATGAGTTGACCTCTAACCTCTGGTTTTAAATGATGAGTTGACCTCTAACCTCTGGTTTTAAATGATGAGTTGACCTCTAACCTCTGGTTTTAAATGATGAGTTGACCTCTAACCTCTATTCATCCTGTTACCAGCCCTCTGTCTAACTAGTTCTCTTCCCTAGGGTCTCGTGCCACAGACAAGTCTAGAAGGTTCAGCATGGAGAACATGGAGCTTATGAAACTAACTCCAGACAAAAAGGTACTAACACCAACAAAAAGGTACTAACACCAACAAAAAGGTACTAACACCAACAAAAAGGTACTTACCCCAACAAAAAGGTACTAACACCAACAAAAAGGTACTAACACCAACAAAAAGGTACTAACACCAACAAAAAGGTACTAACACCAACAAAAAGGTACTAACACCAACAAAAAGGTACTAACACCAACAAAAAGGTACTAACACCAACAAAAAGGTACTAACTCCAGACAAAAAGGTACTAACTCCAGACAAAAAGGTACTTACCCCAACAAAAAGGTACTAACACCAACAAAAAGGTACTTACCCCACAAAAAGGTACTAACCCCAACAAAAAGGTACTAACACCAACAAAAAGGTAATAACACCAACAAAAAGGTACTAACACCAACAAAAAGGTACTTACCCCACAAAAAGGTAATAACACCAACAAAAAGGTACTAACACCAACAAAAAGGTACTTACACCAACAAAAAGGTACTAACACCAACAAAAATGTACTAACACCAACAAAAAGGTACTAACACCAACAAAAAGGTACTTACCCCAACAAAAAGGTACTTACCCCACAAAAAGGTACTTACCCCACAAAAAGGTACTAACACCAACAAAAAGGTACTAACACCAACAAAAAGGTACTTACCCCACAAAAAGGTACTAACCCCAACAAAAAGGTACTAACACCAACAAAAAGGTACTAACACCAACAAAAAGGTACTAACACCAACAAAAAGGTACTTACACCAACAAAAAGGTACTAACACCAACAAAAAGGTACTAACACCAACAAAAATGTACTAACACCAACAAAAAGGTACTTACACCAACAAAAAGGTACTAACACCAGCAAAAATGTACTAACACCAACAAAAATGTACTAACACCAACAAAAAGGTACTTACCCCACAAAAAGGTACTTACCCCACAAAAAGGTACTAACACCAACAAAAAGGTACTAACACCAACAAAAAGGTACTTACCCCACAAAAAGGTACTAACCCCAACAAAAAGGTACTAACACCAACAAAAAGGTACTAACACCAACAAAAAGGTACTAACACCAACAAAAAGGTACTAACTCCAGACAAAAAGGTACTAACACCAACAAAAAGGTACTTACCCCACAAAAAGGTACTAACACCAACAAAAAGGTACTTACCCCACTAAAAGGTACTAACACCAACAAAAAGGTACTAACACCAACAAAAAGGTACTTACCCCACAAAAAGGTACTTACCCCACAAAAAGGTACTAACACCAACAAAAAGGTACTAACACCAACAAAAAGGTACTTACCCCACAAAAAGGTACTAACCCCAACAAAAAGGTACTAACACCAACAAAAAGGTACTAACACCAACAAAAAGGTACTAACACCAACAAAAAGGTACTTACACCAACAAAAAGGTACTAACACCAGCAAAAATGTACTAACACCAACAAAAATGTACTAACACCAACAAAAAGGTACTAACTCCAGACAAAAAGGTACTAACTCCAGACAAAAAGGTACTAACTCCAGACAAAAAGGTACTAACTCCAGACAAAAAGGTACTAACACCAACAAAAAGGTACTTACCCCACAAAAAGGTACTAACACCAACAAAAAGGTACTTACCCCACTAAAAGGTACTAACACCAACAAAAAGGTACTAACACCAACAAAAAGGTACTTACCCCAACAAAAAGGTACTTACACCAACAAAAAGGTACTAACCCTACAAAAAGGTACTAACCCCAACAAAAAGGTACTAACACCAACAAAAAGGTACTTACCCCACTAAAAGGTACTAACACCAACAAAAAGGTACTAACACCAACAAAAAGGTACTAACACCAACAAAAAGGTACTTACCCCACAAAAAGGTACTAACACCAACAAAAAGGTACTTACCACACTAAAAGGTACTAACACCAACAAAAAGGTACTAACACCAACAAAAAGGTACTAACACCAACAAAAAGGTACTTACCCCAACAAAAAGGTACTAACACCAACAAAAAGGTACTAACCCCAACAAAAAGGTACTTACCCCAACAAAAAGGTACTAACCCAACAAAAAGGTACTTACCCCAACAAAAAGGTACTAACCCCAACAAAAAGGTACTAACACCAACAAAAGGTACTAACACCAACAAAAATGTACTAACACCAACAAAAAGGTACTAACACCAACAAAAAGGTACTAACTCCAGACAAAAAGGTACTAACTCCAGACAAAAAGGTACTTACCCCAACAAAAAGGTACTAACACCAACAAAAAGGTACTTACCCCACAAAAAGGTACTAACACCAACAAAAAGGTACTAACACCAACAAAAAGGTACTTACCCCACAAAAAGGTACTTACCCCACAAAAAGGTACTAACACCAACAAAAAGGTACTAACACCAACAAAAAGGTACTTACCCCACAAAAAGGTACTTACCCCACAAAAAGGTACTAACACCAACAAAAAGGTACTTACCCCAACAAAAAGGTACTTACCCCAACAAAAAGGTACTTACCCCACAAAAAGGTACTTACCCCAAGAAAAAGGTACTTACCCCAACAAAAAGGTACTAACCCCAACAAAAAGGTACTTACCCCAACAAAAAGGTACTAACACCAACAAAAAGGTATTAACACCAACAAAAAGGTACATGGACACTACCTCTTGTTTTCACCTACTATTTTTCATAAATATTTTTGTTATTGGGGAGGGGGGCTCTAGAGTAAGTGTAGACAGCTTTTTCATATCATTCTTGGCGTGGCTGTCTGGCTGTTAATAACAATTTGAGTGTGGGTAAGATTTGCATAATTTAAGTGACATCTTTAATAACAATTTGAGTGTGGGTAAGATTTGCATAATTTAAGTGACATCTTTAATGGACTACCACTAGGCTGTGGACAGTCTTTTTTTTTTTTGTAAAAAAAGGCAGAAATTTTATGCACATCTAATTTTTTTTCTTTATATTTTGTTTTACCAATTTATCTGGAGGACAATTTTATATTTGCAACAGAAATGCGATGTTCTCTCTATATTTTTTCTCAACTTACCAGACATTTATTGTGTGGCCATAATCAACCACCCCTAACAACTTTTTATGGTCGTGTTGACCACAAGGCTTCTGCAAGCGCTCTATTAAATATCTAATTTTAACTTGGTTATTTTTAATTACTAGGCTGTTGTTGTTTTTATCTAGATCTAGATCTTTTTAGATTTTGAAGCAAGATCTATTAATCTAATTGTTTTTTTAACTTATGCTTTAATTGTTATTAAACTTAAATGTCCTTAAAATGCTCAAATAACCTTGTGATGCCTTTCTTCAGAAAATTGTCATCCCCCCCCCCTTTTTTTTTTGTTTTATTTTCTCATTTTCTGTACATTTAAAAGCTAGTTATTATAAAGGTTTTTATATATATTTGTTTTATTTGTTAGATTGTAAAGCCAACATTTGTATTTGTTAGATTGTAAAGCCAACATTTGTATTTGTTAGATTGTAAAGCCAACATTTGTATTTGTTAGATTGTAAAGCCAACATTTGTATTTGTTAGATTGTGAAGCAGGTGAGTGGAGGTGCCAGACAAAAAGTTCACAAGTCTGCCAGTGTGGCTGTAGATATAGGAGTGGAGCAGAAGATTGCACCGGTAGGTTTACAGGTAATGTTTCATTCAATTTATGGAGGACAACAATCACTTCATGCATTAGTCATTTTATCACTGGGCAAATGACCCTACAAAAGTAGCTTTGAGCTGCCATAAGATTGAAGTCAATTGTTTGGTCATAGAATGGGTCTGGAGAAGACTTTGATGATGACGGCCTGTTTGACTTGCTGACAAGATTTCAAAGTCGACGCATTGATGACCAGCGCTGTTCTCTGAGACTGCATGACCAACCTGAGGATGATGAGAGTAAAGATGTTAGACTAGGTGGGCACTGGGGTCTGTGGGGGTGGGGTCTGTGGGGGTGGGCACTGGGGCCTGTGGGGGTGGGCACTGGGGTCTGTGGGGGTGGGCACTGGGGTCTGTGGGGGTGGGCACTGGGGTCTGTGGGGGTGGGGTCTGTGGGGGTGGGATCTGGGGTCTGTGGGGGTGGGCACTGGGGTCTGTGGGGGTGGGCACTGGGGAGGTGGGCACTGGGGTCTGTGGGGGTGGGCACTGGGGTCTGTGGGGGTGGGCACTGGGGTCTGTGGGGGTGGGCACTGGGGTCTGGGGGTGGGCACTGGGGTCTGTGGGGGTGGGCACTGGGGTCTGTGGGGGTGGGCACTGGGGTCTGTGGGGGTGGGCACTGGGGTCTGTGGGGGTGGGCACTGGGGTCTGTGGGGGTGGGCACTGGGGTCTGTGGGGGGTGGGCACTGGGGTCTGTGGGGGTGGGCACTGGGGTCTGTGGGGGTGGGCACTGGGGAGGTGGGCACTGGGGTCTGTGGGGGTGGGCACTGGGGTCTGGGGAGGTGGGCACTGGGGTCTGTGGGGGTGGGCACTCGGGTCTGTGGGGGTGGGGTCTGTGGGGGTGGGCCCTGGGGTCTGGGGGTGGGCACTGGGGTCTGTGGGGGTGGGCACTGGGGAGGTGTGGCATCTTCCCTACACCCACCCTACTACTTTTCTGTCAAAAGTTGGTTAGGAGTCGTTCGGTCTATGTTGTTCACTGACCTATTGAGTGTGCTGTGGCCACTGACTATTATAAATCACATACACCGAAAGACTAATTATTGCATCTGGATAAAATCCCGATTAAACATAGATTTCTATATTTCATGAATAATAAACTCTGAGTATAGTTATTTAAGAAGTTCTCACTTTGTGAAATAATAATGTTCTCAATCAGGCGTGTTTTTTAAAGTTGCATATGCTAAGTTTGAATTAAAATCTTGATTAGTTCATTTCTTTGAATAAATACATGCTTAATGCAAAATATATTTTTGTTTAAAAAAAAAAAAGTACTAACCTTTTGGAAGTGAAAATGTGCGTGGTAGACAGCCCTGGTTTGATGTGCGTGGTAGACAGCCCTGGTTTGATGTGCGTGGTAGACAGCCCTGGTTTGATGTGCGTGGTAGACAGCCCTGGTTTGATGTGCGTGGTAGACAGCCCTGGTTTGATGTGCGTGGTAGACAGCCCTGGTTTGATGTGCGTGGTAGACAGCCCTGGTTTGATGTGTGTGGTAGACAGCCCTGGTTTGATGTGTGTGGTAGACAGCCCTGGTTTGATGTGCGTGGTAGACAGCCCTGGTTTGATGTGTGTGGTAGACAGCCCTGGTTTGATGTGTGTGGTAGACAGCCCTGGTTTGATGTGTGTGGTAGACAGCCCTGGTTTGATGTGTGTGGTAGACAGCCCTGGTTTGATGTGTGTGGTAGACAGCCCTGGTTTGATGTGCGTGGTAGACAGCCCTGGTTTGATAGCCTGATCCACCTTTGTTACAGTGTCATCACCAGCAAGTGAGAAGTTGATGGATATGGTTGCTGGCTTTCAGGCTTCTAGAATGAATGACCAAAGAGCTAGTCTGCCTACTTTTCCTGGACTGACATCTCAAGCAGTTATAGGCCAGCTGTTGAGCAACACTGCAGAAGAGAACAGAAAAATGCCAGATGACAGTTTTTTTGAAATGCTTATGCGTTGCCAGGTAGCTTTTTACATACAGTCCAACCTTTTATTTTTATATGACCTAAGAAAATGACCAAACTCCTTTAAAATCACTTTTATTTTTTTTAAAAACTAACCAATAAAGCTTAAATGAAAACTTAAGTTTACGTAGAGATATTTGAGCATAAACTAAATTCCAAATGTTCCAGGCCACACGGCTGGAAGACCAGAGAAGCTCTTTACCCCAAGAATTGTCCGCCCCTACAGTGCCTGATGAGGATTTTCTTAGTTTAATTATGCGAGTGCAGTCAAGTAGAATAGATGAACAAAGGTCAGACTTACCACAAAGAAATACATCAGGGGCAACTACTCCAGGAAAAAAGAAGAAAAAAGGGACATAATTGTTTGTTGATGTTTTCTCTTATAATTTTAAACTAGAAATAGATATGAAGTATCATATCTACTTACTTAAGTGTTAAAGCTTTATGCAGATCTTGAGTCAGCTACCAAAACACTTGATATGACTGAGTTCAGATGTTCATTGATATATTGTCTAGATAACTGTGCTAGTGTCATTTTTGTTTCAATGCATTTTGGCAGGCCCATACATCAGTTGGATGAAATGGTTTATCCTTATTATCTAAATTTGTTATATATATGAACAAGATCTGTTAACTTTTTGCATTTATGAGCGAATTCTGTGTGGTTGACTGTTGACAAAGTAGGCTTAGAATTTATTTTACACTAACCAGTCTTAAGACTTTTGGTCATGTGACCGGTCTTGTTGACTATAATTATAAGTGCAATACATTTTAATACCTACCTGTTGAGATACACAGAAATGTGCCATTTGAACAAATGTTTTTTTATTTCACGAGTCAACTTCTGATTGTTGTAAATTGAACTGTTACACCATCACTCTGTAGAGACTTATTATTTGAATTATCTACTGGATGGAAACTTCATTTTTTAGTTTCATATATAGCCACATTTAGAATATGATTTAGAATAAATTTGACTCTAATTTATTCTCAGGCCTTTTAAAGTTGTTGTTTATCAGCCCAATCAGACACGAATTTCTCATTCCAATTCGTCATGCTTGTGAGGTCAGCACAACGGTATTTACTTTTATATCATTCAAAGGGACAGAGTGGTCTAGCGGTAGAGAGCTGGACTGCTAACCCGTAAGTCTCAAGTTCGAATCCGGGTTCAAGTCAGTAGACAGTCCCAGAGTCCACCCAACTCTAATGGGTACCTAACTCACGTTAGGGAAAGTAAAGGCGGCTGGGCATAGTGCTGACCACACTATCTCTTCATATGCCGAGGTCACAGAAACAAGTGAACTCTACTTCACTTGCCCCATAGACCGTCAGATTTGAAAAGGGAACTTTACTTTACTTACTTACATTCAAATTTGACGAGGCAGCTAAACTCACAAAAAAACTGGAATTATTTTCAAAGCCCAACAGAAATTTTTCCCACAAATTCATTGTCAGTACCTACCCAGCAAAACAACTTTTTAAAAACTCCACGTTATTGATATAAGTTAACCATAATTAAACTCCCTACACTATTGATTCTTGTAAGAAATAATTTATCAAAGGAAGAAAATTACTTAGATTTAAATTAAAAGCAGCTTTTCACAGGGAAAAATAGTTTTGTTGGGAAATTAATAAAAATTATTTTTCTTTATTATTTTCTTATTTATAGAAAACGCTAATGAGTCCATTTTTCTTCCAAAATCATGGATTGGATTATTAGAATAAATTATTTTACATCTTTTCCCATCTGCGCTTGTCTGTGGCAACTTTCTTGTCAGATCTCAGATATTTCAGCTCTTATCAGTTGTCTTTCTGCTGTGTCTCCATGTCTTGGCTTTCCTGTTTTCTTTTTCCTCAAGTTCAGTGATTCATTCAAGTTGGATCCATGACATTTCAGCTGCTTCTGCTTCTTTAACAAGTTGTCTAAGTTTTTTTTGCCTTCTTTCTCTCCTCAGGTATTTCCAGCTAATTACTGTCTGGTAATATTTGTTGCATTTCTTTCACTTTGTGTGGTTTTACTAAAGAAATATTTTAATATAATACAAACTATAGGCTACAGAAAACAAGAAGTAAATGCAACTAAAATGGCTGCGTAGTAATATTGTGACCACAATTTTAAAATTGCAAACACCAACAAAATGATAAAACACACAACTTGAAAAATTTTTTTTAATTGGACAAGCCCAGGGCCAAATATGAACACACAAGCAGTAGAAAGCAAAGAAAAAGTGGGCAAACAACTGATAAAATGTTGAACAATGTGGTTCTAGTCCATAACCTTGTTAAATTGGTTTGACACAAAACTGATCAACATCACACATGATGTAAAGTATTGTAGAAATAAAATTAAAATGAAGGGTTTGTTGCAATAAAAAAGTCTTTTTTTATTGCATAGCTTGGTTAAAAATATTTGACTTGTGCAGAAAATGTAAAAGTGAACAAAAATAATCAACATTGGCATCAAATGTATAAGTTGGACAACAAGTAACATAAGTTGAAATAGAAAAAAGGGTTTTCCAGATTTATTTTGCTTGTAAAATAAATCTGGAAAAAATGGGTTTATATAGTAAAAATAAGTAACAGTTAAAGTGTTAATCAATAACAGTGAAATATATTTGACATTTGTTTGAAATTCTCAACAAGAAGGAATGCCTTTTCATCACTGCAACATTGAATTAAACCATACTTAAGACTTGGGTTTGTAATAACAATCAAGTACTGGCTCACAAATATTATAATAACAATCAAGTACTAGCTCACAAATATTAAAGTCCTTTCCCTGGCAACATATTTGGTAAATTACACCCATACAGTTTTATAATGGGAAATTCTATTTATTCTAATTTCCTTCAACTTGGTGGATTAAACCTCAATAGTAAATTTTGTCCCCAATTTATTGAGGGGTTGGTAACAATACTGACACATTTTTAAGGTATTTAGGGCTAGGTGGCCAGGGGAAATCCCATCCATGTCATTGTCTTTGGGACAGCTGTATGCACTATAGTAATAAATCTGGAGCTCTGACTTGCATATAATGACAGTATTGTAGTCAAGTGGTCAATGATTGACTGTGGGACAACAGTTGTAATGATTTGTACTGGTATGGAGCCCATAAAGTAATTTGACATGGTCAACAAAACCAACCAAATTTCAGAGAAAAAGACCCCCACCACTAGGAATGTTGCAGGACAGTGGACACTGAGAAATTAATTTGAGAAATTGGGGATCACACATGTTCTATGGACTGTTATCCTGAGAGTTTGGTATGTAGTGACTTAAACACAACCAAATGATATCCAGAACCACAGGGAATAGTTTTAGTTGGTCTTAGTGTACCAGTGGATGATGGTGACATTGGACCAACAAGTGATCAATCTGATCTATTGGATGTAGAAGATAAAGAACCTGAAGACACCACTAGTTCAATGTCCAGTAACTCTAATGATGTCATCCCAGTAACTTAACTGACATGTCTAACTATTTATACAGTGCTAAACAGAAAATAATAATAAAATTATTAAAATGAAGCTGAAGGGGAAAGTGGAGCAAGAGAAATCAACATAACTGAAAAAAAAACAACCAAAGTAACAGTGTGGTACTAGCAATCTAGAACATTACCTTAACTGCAAATTCACATTGACAACAATGACACTAGCAATCAGGCTGATGCTATATTTAGTTCCATTAGGAATATTTTTGAGTTATTCTTTAGAAATAGGGTAAGGTATTATGTTTCTGGAGAGAGTGGAGTAGATTTATCAAAGCACACCATAAAAATAAGAAAAAAAATACTGGAGGCATGGGACTCATGTAATTATACATTGAGATGATGGCTTACAATGTATTGGCAAAAGAACTGTTCTCTGCCAGCAAAAAAAAAAAAATATTTTTCCATTCAAAAGGAGAATTGTATGAGCAAAAAAATAGCATCTCTGGGGCTGTTACACATAGTTGCCAGGGAAAGATACTTGAAACTTATTTTTGAATGGATTTAGTTTTAACACATCTGCTAGATATTTTTTGTTTATCTGTTACAAATAATGACTGAATGTCTATAGCTTTACTATTGTTCAATACAAAAAACAACTAGATTTTAAATCTTCACCACTGAAGGCACAAACGTTTCTTCATGACAGTTACTGACTTAGTCACAAACATCACTACAGCAACAACGATATGCTGGCATTGAATGAAAATGTAAAGATAAAATCTTAAACATTATCTTAAAGCGAGGTAGTGAAAACTAAATTGGAAACCTTTTAATGCATAATCATAAACAAAAATTGAATATTAACTACTAATTTTACAGTAATCTAACCACAACTTACTTTAAGATCTTTTTTTGTGTCTAAAATTATCATTTTTAACAGAAAAACCTTAAGTAATGTAATATACAAATACACAACAATAAAAAAAATTTACTTAGCAGATTCTAAAAATTGAAGAAGAAAAAAGTTACCAACAACTCTAAACTCTTTAAATAAAACAACAGTATTACTGGCAATACTATCATAATAACTTTTTCACAAAAAAATGTCTGCTTTAAAAATATGTCAAGCATTTTGGCTAATTGAGGTTTATATGACAGTAACATACCTAAAATGGAACAAAGTTCTGTGATGTGACTTGGCCAAATTACCTCAACCTGTTGTTATTCTCTTTTGGATACTTAAACTAAAATATGGTTTATGCAGTATGTGTGGTATGCTTACTAATTAAACTCAATGAAATTTTGAAATAAAGATATTTAGACCAGATAGAGTTGTACATAAAAAGTACATTTCTAAAAATAAATGTTTTTTTAATTTATATTTAAACAAAGAATGCTCATGCATATACAGATTCACACACAAGTAGGCCACACATCAACTCCTAATGTGCTATTGCAAATCCATACACTAATTTTAATATACATTTATACAGATAGATATAAGAACACAAAACTTTTGCGATACAATTTAACAGAAATGAAACATTAATATGAACAGTACCATATGGCCAGAACTCTTGCTAATAGAGAACAAGTGTAAAGGCACAATTCGTTTAATTCATTGATGGCAAACACCTTTAAGATATACAATAATAAATGTGAGTACATTTTACTTTTGGCTGTTTGATTTTAGAATCATTGCTAAACTATGAATCATTCACATTTTTTGGTGGTAAACTTTAGGACTAAAAATTAGTTAGGGTGCTAAAAATGAAAGAAAAAAAGATGAAATTATTTTACAGCAGGTAATATAAACAATGATTACTTAAATATTCAAAAATTATAGCAAGGTATAAAACATTCACAAATAAGCCATGTTTATGTTTAAGGGGCATGCAGAAAATAGTTTTAAAGAAGTAAATGGAATTTCAAAAATTGGTGGTGGGTATGAAGTGTAGTCCCCTATTTTCTAAATAAGTTTTATTTTAATTGACCAAAACTTATCAGCAGTGTTTATTTAACCAGCATGATAACTAAGATTTACTTATACAATACAACTAATAGTCAACTCATTTCATGTTGTTTCTATTATTACATTAACTATATTAAGCTAAGCTTTAGTAAAATGCAATATAAAAATTAGAAACAGTATAATAAAAATTTAAATATGGCACAAATAAATTTGTAAAGTTCATAAAAATGTGTGTTTTTTTTAAATAAAAATTTGATCAACATAAAGGTTACTAGAATTGTGGTTTGCAACATTTTTATTAATATGATCACCTACTTACAAATTAATGTTCAGTTAGCCATTCCAATAGTTTTTATAATCACTGTTTAATCAGGGCATAAAAAATAGGAGGCCTCAATAATTCAGATGTAATTATTTGCTTGTGTTAATGTATAAATGTCTTAGTAAAATTTTAATTGTGTAGGCTAAGACATGAAACAATCTGGTGTGTTTACAATATTTGATGTATCAATATAAAGGGTTTTATTTTAATGCTACCACAATTAAGCATTTATTTTTATATCTTATGCGCTTTTACAACAGAAGGGGGGGGGGGAGAAAGAGGAAATTGTTTAAACATTATTGAATTGAGAGATTAAAACTTTTTAAACATGATACATAAAGTAACCTTTTGAATGGGCTGATTCTAAAATTTTATAAAGTAATTTAAATTTCATAAAATGACCAGGAATGATACTCTGTAGTCTTGTTAGAAACCTAACTTAAAAAAATTGAGTCAAGGGAAGCTATTCAAATTATACGAACCAATTGCAATTAAATTTAATCTGTGTTATGTCCCTTTGTTAGAACATTCGTTTAAGGGCTTTTTTTTCTAAAACAAAATTGCCAAACCAGTCTATTATGAGAAAGATCGCGAATAGGACAATGAGCTAGTCATGAGTTATTTCTGTGCATAACTATTATAAAATTGCCTGACTAATTATTGTAGACTAACTGCTGATTTGTTTTCCTCAAGTTAAATTGTACTTTTTAAAGTGCTGCTTCAAAGTCTCGGAGTGCTCCTTGTTTACGTCTTGACTGCCAGAGATTCCCGCCTTTTTCTTTTTACTTCCCCTCCGCTTGAATACATTCTTAATGCTCTGGAAGGGGTTGGATTCGGAAGATGATTTCGGTGGACTTTGGCTTGGTGTAGCGGGTGCAGGAGTTGGCGTGTTCCCGCTAGTAGCCGATGGCGCGCTTGATGACGGCACAGTAGGTACGTCCTTGGCCAGCAAATCTACGCTGGGTAGAGAGTGGGGCCGCTCCCTGAAACTCTTTGAAACATGCTCGGACACAGTGGGCAGAGCGTGAGGAACAGAACGCGACTTTGAGAGCTCATTAAAGCCGTAGCTGGAGGGCCTGTGGTTGCTTCTGTCACCCATGTTGACTAGCGATGACGTTGACGAGTGAACCGAGTTTGGGAGATCGGGGGAGTTGATCTCGTCACCAAAACAACTGTCGGGACTCTCCTGTTGGTTCTCGTCCACGTCTCGGAGGCCGAACGGGTAGTCGACTAGACTTCTGCACCTCTCTTTGCGCTCGAAATTACGAAGTGAGCTGTTCCTGCCAACTAGATTCTCCTGACTGCTATAGCGAAGTCCACCCTCATCCAATGGCTCCAGCGGCGCGGAAGAGTACAGTTCAAGGCTACTTTTGTGGCGCCTCAAACGTTCCTTCATAGCACTAAAGCGCACCTTGCTGGAAACTTTTTCAACATTCTTCGTTTTATTTCCGCGAAGAACAACTTTATTCCCATGATCTCGAATAGAAACGTCACCGGGCTCTTGATGTTCTGCCTTAGTGACGCCGTTATCTGTTGCATAACCTTGGCTGATGACCTGCAGCAGACGGTCATTTTTCTCCGCCAAGTCTTCAATAGCTGCCTTCTGTCGCCGGATGACGTCATCTTTATCTTGCAATAGCTCCAGGATTTCTCCATGTTCGCGCTTGATTTGACCCTCGAGAAGAAGAACCCGCGACAAGAACTGTCTCATCAGCTGCTCATGCTGTGCCTGCAGCTTCTTCATCTCGTTGTCTCGGCGCCGGAGTCTGGCCCGGAGCGATGTCGTCAGAACATTGGCTTCAGCTTGCTGGGCATGCGCATGCGCCTGTAGGCGTGTCATGGCTTCTGTTTGGATATGCAGCTGAGCCTGAAGTCTATCAATCATCAACTGAGGCGAGACCT